TTATAAACATATGGTTAACACTGACTATGTGTATTATCCCACTAAACTGTGTAATCTGTAGTGGGAAGAACCCAGAAACTGAAAATCGGATCTAACTCATTTATTTAGTGCCATTAATTGTGTTCTTTGTTTCAGTTGGAAAGTTTGAAGCAGCAGCAGAAGGATGAAGAGAAAGTGATAAAGGAAGACAAGCGTGTGGAGAGCATCAAACAGAAGGTCGCAGAAGTTCACCAGGAGAAGATAAAGGATCAAGAGAAAGTCAGACCTGAAGAGCAAGTGGACAACCGCACAGTGCAGGAGGCTGCTGAAATGGTGAGTTGAACTACCATGAAAATTATTTATTACAAAACTGAAATGCATTAAAAAATTTGTATTATTTTAGTATGAGCTGAAGGAAACTGGCCACACCCCGGAACTGACCAACAAGCACGATGGGAGGGAGATACCAGTGAGGAGGCACTCGTTTAATAAGAAACCTCCATTGCAGAAGAATCGCACTCAGGAGACAGACAGGTAAAGATACTGTGGTGTTGGGAGGCTAAAAATGCCATTATTTTTATTATGCAAGGCTGTGCGCAGTATAGACAGTAAATGATTTTTCTAGTCTATTCAAATTGGATGTTTTGGGGCAAATGGTAATAATCAGCGATTTACCGGTCAATCTTCATTCCTACTCCCACCTGTGGTCATGAGCTCTGGGTAATGACCGAAAGGACAAGATCACAGATACAAGAGCACGAAATGAGTTTCCTTTGCAGGGTGGCTGGGCGCTCCTTTAGAGATAGGGTGAGGAGCTCAGTCACACGGGAGGAGCTCGGAGTAGAGCCGCTGCTCCTCCATGTCGAGAGGAGCAGTTGAGGCTCGGGCATCTGTTCCGGATGCCTCCTGGGCGCCTCTCTCGTGAGGTGTTCCGGGCATGTCCCACTGGGAGGAGGCCCCAGGGAAGACACAGGAAACGCTGAAGGGACTATGTCTCTGGGCTGACCTGGGAACATCTTGGGGTTCCCCCGGAGGAGCTGGAGGGCATGTCTGGGGTGAAGGAAGTCTGGGAGTCCCTGCTTAGACTGCTGCCCCCGCGAACTGGCCCCGGATAAGCAGAAGAAAATGGATGGATGGATGGTAATAATCAGCCTGAATATTGGCCCAGAAATTTTGGCAGAGCTTATTCATCATTGGCGGCTCTGGATTGAAAAATTTGGGTATCTGGTTTCTTGCTCTGATTGGACTGTGCTATTTTATGCAGTGAGATTACGTTGCCTGGGGAAAAAAAGACACACTTCTTCAATTCAATACTTTATGAAGATGTGTTGAATCTCCCCATTTTCAGATGAACGTGATTGACAGGTGGATTAGCCAATCAGAGACGTGCATGGTTCTCACATATTGATATCACAGGGGACTGAAAGACATAGCAAATTTCTGCAGAATCAATGAGCAAAACACTACACTTTATTAATCTGAGGTGAGATAAATAAGATTTTATTTGTATGTGATGATGACCAGATGATAGGGGTGTAACAATATCCAAGTCTCACGATATGATTGTCACGATATGAACCTCACGGTATATATTAGATATTTATAGTGATATCAGACACCATGGGGAGGCTCATGATTAGAGATGTAACAATATCCAAATGTCTCGGTACAATATTTTCACGATATACATCTCATGGTACGATATTTATTGTGATATTTTGTGGAGGTGAACAAAACTGTTAATATGCTACTTTCTCCTCTTTAAATGCCCTGACAAGACTTAATCCAAAGAACTAAGACTTAAAAGTGTTAGAACTGTTATTTTTTCATGTAGTCTGCACTGAAATTGAGCAAAGGATCATGGTCTATGTAGTTCCCTCTGTCTTTTTTTTTTAGCTATTGCTGCACCATAACTGTAAATTTAAGCAAAGAGACTTGTGAGTCGATATATTGTGATGGTCCATGATATTTTTGTGAGAACTATGATGATACCTTATCACAATATTTTGGTTATTCTTACATCCTTACCAAATGAACCCCTTCGTTTCACATGTGTCACTAAAAAAACAAAACAAATATGAATAGAGGGAAAGAAAACATATTACAAAGAGATATCATTCTTTTTTTGCCAGACAAGCGTTTACATGCATTTAAAAATCCTGTTTAAATTTGATTAGGCCAGTTATCTGATTTCCTTGATGTGCATTTCAACATAGTGATTATAATGTATTAGGTCTATCCTGGTTCATTTATTTTTCTTAAATTATTGCTTGACCCGGAGCTTGATATCTTTGTGAGATTTTTTTTTTCTATCCTCCACAGACAAACTACGTCCTCTTTCTGCTCCACGCACACGTTCAGCCTCTCCTGTTCCCCTCTGGAGACCAACAGACAGGTGTACGCCATCATCAGCCAATCCCAGCCAGCCATCCCCACCCAGACCCCGCCCTCTCCCAGGGACACAAAGAGAGAAGAAAAGGTCTGTCTCTTGAGTGTAGGTCTGAGATTTAACACTCTTTTTTTGCCTAATTACCTTCCTGTTCCAACCAAGTATTGCAGATGAAATGGTTGTTTGAATGTGACTTGCTCAAGTGACACAACATGAGTATGTTTTTGCGCAAGAATTTTTTTGTTGGATAATAAAGATGAGCTGAGAAAGATAATTTTCTTTATAAATGTTCAAAAGGGCTTCAAATTAGAAGGTTTAAAGGTGCTTAGAATGTTCCACAATATGGCATTTATTCAGTTGTAGGTGGTTTTATTGCTCAAAAATATCTAGAGGGATTCTGACTGTGAGCAGGGTCGCCTCTCCATAAATCTGACCTGTAACTTGGTCTGGTTTGGTCTCCATGAAGATAGAAAGGTTTATAATGCCATACTGTGAAACATTCCAAACAAAGCAATAATATCTCCATGGAGAAAAGCACAGACCCTCCACTGGAAAAGTTACCCAATGCACCGTTAACTCACATTTTCAAAATTTAAATAGTTGTGATTAATAGTGATTAATCATATTTCAAAAGTGGGACAAAAACAAAATAATTGATATTAAAATCTTTCACTTTCCCTCAGGATTTAGCAGCAGACAGCCCGTTGTACACTGAGCCTCTCCACCCTCATCCTGATGCCCTGTCTGAGGATTCCCTGTCCACAGATGAGTACGACTGCCCCTCTCCAGACGATATCTCTCTGCCTCCACTGGCCGAGACCCCGGAGTCCCTCGTGGTCCCGTCTGACCTGGAGGAGGGCCTGTGCTTTAGCTCCCAGCACAGCTACAGGAGCCACAGAGAGTCCACTGACACCAACCTGCACAGTGTCAACAGGTGAGGGCAGAGACATGGTGGAATGAGAATAAGAAACTATTTACAGCTATTTGAAAAGGCTGGATTTTTGAAGTTTTTGATTGTATTACATCATCATAAATACATTTATTGTAAAGGCAATGTTCACAGCATTGCACACTCACTGCATTTCAAAGCTAATGCTTACATTAAAAATAAAATGAAATAAAGACTTGGTTTTATATGTAGCTTACTTCCATTTGCGTGGAGATATTTATTTTGCCTCAAATTTTGGACACAGGACCTCATTTCTTAGTGAGCCAGAGTGTTGGAGACGTGTGGAAACACTTTTTAAAATATTCCATCCAGTCCTTGTATTTGCAGAGGTCGCTGGTGCTAGACTAGTGCATGTCAATGTTCATATTTATCCTTACCCACTCCACAAAACACCCGAAGCAAATCTGTTATTACACCAGACTGTCCATGTAAATGTCTGTGTTGATAGAATAATGTTTGAAATAAAATGAATCGTCGCATGTTGGGGGACTATTTTCTCGGCAGCAGCGGAATTTTACTTTGCCGGTAAAATAGGTGCTAGGTGATATCAGTCCACCGCTGCCGAGCTTTCTATGAGGAAGTACAACTCACTGCTGCTGCTCAGACATAAGTCCTTCAAATGCAAGGCTGGTTTTACTTCTAAAATTATTCTGTTGACACAGACATTTACATCGACAGTCTGGAGTAATAATAGATTTGCTTCAGGCGCTTTGTGGACTTTTTTAGTGGCAGGATAACTATGGCCATTGACATGCACTAGTCTACCACCAGTGACCTCTGCAAATACAAGGACTGGATGGAATATTTTAAAAAAGAGTCTCCACACATCTCCAACACTCTGGCTATGTCCAAAATTCTGGACTGTCCCTTCAACATTGAGACAAAAATACCAACCTTTAAAGTGTCTTCTAATAAAGTATTCACCTCATTTGTTGGTAACATCCACCCACAACTCAACAATTATTAAAAAAAAAATTATTATAGCGTGAACAACAGTGAGTCTTCTTGTTATACCACAGAAATTGAATTCATTTAACAATTATATATATGTCAAAGTCTATAAATGCCTACTTTTTGTTTGCTTTTAGGGTCAGGACAGAATCTGGCACTTATTTCCCATCTCCTGTGACCATCCCCATCTCGACTCAAATCCAGGCTGAGTTTTCCACCACTGTCCGTTCCATCACCACTGAGGAAAGCAGCTCTACACCAGCACAAGGCAGTCCCTTCGTATCCAACAACATTCCAGCCCAAACTGTACAAACCGCTGAACCTACACCCCTGGTTCATACTCACAAGGACAAGAACCCTTCCCAAAATGTCGTCTTTACAACATCAACTACCCAAGTATCTGAAGACCTCCCTAATTTGTGCCTGGACAATAGTTTGCCAAAGTCATTCCCTATGTACCAAAGCAGCACTCACCAAGAAATAATTAGCTTGGAAGTAACTAATTTAAGTGGGACTGTTGAGAGATTGGAGGATTTTGAGAAAAGCCAAGCAGGTCCCATTCTGGAAAGTGCAGCTGCAAATATTGAAATGACAAAATGTGAAATTCCAAGTGTTGGCGTACCTAGCAAAAATGAGTCTACCACAAACTCCCTCTCAGCTGTAATCGACAATGAAGATTTGGGACATAAACCTGAACCATGCAACGTCAGATCATATTCAAATGGTCAAAGTATGGAAACAGTAAAGTACCAAGATTCAAGCAAGGATTCTCATGATGAAAAAGCAGCAGTATCATTAGGTAGCATCACCACTAAAACTGTCAAAGTGACTTCCACAGGCTTGGTGCAAGGTGTCATCAAGGCCACATCCAAAGAAACCAAATCTTCGAACCACAAAAATGACACTGAAGACCTTAAATTGACTATGATAAGTGACCACGAACCAAACATTGATTGTAAGACTGAACTGGCAAACCAAACTGAAGAATTCAAGAAAGCTCCCAGTCCTGAAAGCTTTGACAAGAACTTTGCCTCCAACGATCCACCACAGAAGCTCAATGTCTCTTCTACCCAAGAACCAGACAGCATGAACCATTCACATCCATCCAATAACACGACTTCTAACACCAAGCAGAACCAAAACCAGACCTCCACCCAGCAGTGTGTGCATGATTCCGGCATTAGCGCTCAACTTGGTGCCCGCCCGCTGCCCGAACCAGAGACCCAAGCTTTGCCAGAGCAAGCTAACCCGCATGCCACCCCTTCTCTTACCACCCATGAGCTGCTACTAACTCCAGACCAAGACCCAGACATTTGCCAACCCTGCACAATCCGCGAGGAGATCAGACTAATTCCACAAATTAAGGGACCGCCCGTACCCCCACAAGCCCGGGATGAGTGTGCCCGCTTCACCAAACCTGTGTCTAAAGCCACCGTCATGGGGGGCTCTCCAGTGACGCTGGAGGTGGAGGTGGCAGGACAGCCAGAGCCCACGCTCACCTGGTGGGTAGCGTACAACCAGCTTCACAAAGAAACCTGAAATGCATTGGCCGTGTTTGTTGCACGTTTAGTTAATTCTTCAATATTTTTCAGAGTTAAAGGTGCATTGTGTAACTTTTCTGGTGGATGGTCTGCCACCTGATTGTTTTTTTGGAGATGTCATTGCTCTTCCTGTAGTGTTCCACAGTATAACATTAATCAGCTCCACCTTACTTTTATTAAATTACATTGGTTTTATAGCCCAAAAATACCTAGAAAAACAAACATTCTGACTGTGCGCAGGATCGCCTCTCCACAGATCTGACCTGTAACTTGATCTCATTTGTTCTCCATGATGATGAAGTTTTAATACCATTCTGTGGAACATTCCAGACAAAGCAATAACATTTCCATGGAGAAAAGCATTTGACAGACCCTCCATCAGAAAAGTTACACAATTCACCTTTAATAGAGGCACTGTGGTGTTAGTACTGTATTTTCCGGGCTATTAGACGCGCTCTTAAGCCTTCAACCCCATCAAAAAACGACTGCGCGCCCCACAATCCAGAGCATCCTATACACGAATCCACTCGGGTGTCCCAGCACGACTTCAGTAAACTACAAAGCCGCACCACCCGCAGAACACACAAACACACACGGAGCAGACAACGACCGCGCAGCAAAAAACACCCACAGACACACTCATCCCTCCACGCCGACGAGGAACGGAACGAAGGAATGAAGCGAAAAAACAAGTGCAGTGTGCCACGCTGAGCCACAACTGAACAACTGAGTCACTGCGAACACGCCGACAATCCAGCGGTCCCAGACAGCACCCTCCCTACACGCCACAACTGAACAAAGCCCAGTCGTTTAAAGTCCGGTGCGGTTTATTTGTGAAAAAAGTTAGAAAATAGACCATTTAATGACAGTGCTTCTTATAATCCAGAGCGCCTAATAGCCCGGAAAATACGGTAATTGGTGGTTAAATGGAGCTCCACAGTCCTGCCCACTTAGAAGAGTCTGCAAAATGTTTTAATAACTTGGTGGTTTAAGAAGTTTCTGAAACATATTTTACCTATAATTATAGAGCTTGTTGTCATTCGTCATGAGCTGATTAGCCTTGAGCAAGCTTTCAGACCTTTAATATTAATGCTTTTCGAAAAGTCAATAGGAAAAATTTACTTCCAGAACCAGGGAGTGGGCTGTCACGTTCGAGTTCCATCACTATTTAAATGGAACTATTTATCTACTAAAGAGCAAAGAGCAAAAATAAAAAGTATCCATTGTAATTGTTAAAGTACAGGTCACTAAAAATGTGTGTCCAAGTGGGCTACAGTAATTTCATTTTTAAACCTTGTTACTTTCTACCACTGTTAAACGAAGATGCTCACACCCTAAGTACTGTAGTACAATTGGCATTTTTGGTGAAGAAGTATTAAACTATGGCCAGTTATTCAGTAAACAGTCCATGGAGCTAAAACATGTCATTATTGTACCGTTTTGTTATTTGTGAGATAATCCAATGACCAAGAAATGGTGTTTCAACCCCATGACATACTAAAGCTCCAGCAATAAGACTAAGAAGAGTTCGTCAAAATGGAAATTTGTTTGTAGAGATGTAAGTCCCGGCAGGTCCAGGCAATCAAATCGTGTATGTTGTCGTGTTTTTAATTGAGGCCTAAAATATTCAGATGAAACAACAAAAGCCAACTTTATTTTTTGCCTGTAGATTTTGTGTTTTAATATTTCAAGAATTAGTGGAACATGAGATCCAATAATCAAACGCCCAGGAGAGGTTCAATGTACAGAAGGTTTCTACAGTGGTCATCTGGACACTGTTTCAGCTCTGATCCAGAAGCATTTTCAACTTGATGGTACTGGCTTCCTTTTTAATAAATTAATCATTGGATTTATGTAGTGCCTTTCAAGACACTCAAAGCTCTTTACAAGGCATTATTCATTCACTCTACACTTGGTGGTGGTAAGATTGTAGCCACAGTTGCCCTGGGGCAGACTGACAGAAGTGAAGCTGCTCATCAACCCCTCGGACCACCAACACTCACGCACACACCACTTTCATACCAGACAATGTGGGTGAAGTGTCTTGCCTAAGGACTAGGGATGTAACAATAACCGGATTATTGTCAAAGTTAATATCGTGGACCCTCACAATATATCGAATTATAAGTGTCTTTGCTTAAATTAAGAGTTATGGTGCAGCAATAGCTTAAAAAAACACAGAGGGAACTACATAGACCATGATCCTTTGCTCCATTTCAGTGTAGACTACATGAAGAAATAACAGTTCTAAGCATTTTTAACTCTAACTTTTTTCAACAGAATATCAAATTTAACAAAATACAATAATCAACATAAAAACAAAACACAAAAATATAAAGCAACACGCAAAACAACAAAAAGACCCCCCTATTTCCCCCCGACCACACAAATTTGGTTAAATAAAACAAAAGTAATGTTGTAGCGCAGCATAAACACACTGCTAGACCCCCTTACATTGATATATTTTGGCCTGTTTATAATTGAAATTCCTTTTCTCTCTCTTTCTTCCTTTTTTTCCCCTCCCATTTTTAAATAACATAATAACATTAACTAACATTTTTAGTCCCTATACTTAAACTAATATTATTTTCACCATCTTCTTTTCATTTCATTATCTTTTACAATTATATAACAGGTTTGTTTGCCTCCCCAAAATATTGCAATAAATATCATACCGTGAGATGTACATTGTGAAAATATCGTACCGAGAGATTTGGATATCGTTACATCCCTAATCATGAGCCTCCCCATCGTATCGTGAGCTTTCCTACAATATCGTAATAAATATCGTACTGTGAGGTTTGTGAGACTTGGATATTGTTACATCCCTGCTAAGTACATAGTATTTTTTACCACTGGTGCCCCACTTTCTAGTGTTACTGTGTTTTAAGCCAGCAAAACGTCTAGATGACCACTGCAGAATCATTCTCAACATAACTGAAATTAAAACTGCGTTATCAAATTACATAATAAAATAAAAGTCACTTGGAAGTATTACCGGTTAGCAAAAATATGAAAAATATAGAATGCTTTTACATTACAATTTGTTTCACTAGTTTTGCTGTGTGCTAACTTTAGAATATTGAGTTTGCATGAGCTCAAAATCACCATAAACCACTGTTTGCTTTGCTTTCTGCTAACATACTCTAATATATAACCTATCTAATGTCTAATGTCTAATTTAAAGGTCCTATATTACGCTAAATTCACTCTTGTGAGCTTTAAGCCATGTTAGAATGTTGTTTCTTCTTTAAAAAAAAAAACATACCCAGAGTTGTGTTTTGTTTCATTCAGGCATGTTTGAGTGACCCTTTATTATTATTTTGTCTCCATCTCTAAAGCTCAAAATGCTCTGTTCCACCTTGTGATGTCATGAAGTGTTAGTATTCAAGTTAACAGCTACACTACCGGTCAAAAGTTTTAGAACACCACATTTTTTCCAGTTTTTTATGATTTACGGTTGACCAAAACGTATTCTAAACTTTTGATTCCTGAAAGTTTCCACCTTTGGCAGATATAAGAGCTGAACTCTCGTGGCTTGTTCTTTTAACAGTACAAATCAAATATTCTTCAGAAAGTTCTTCCCAAGTCTGTTGCAGAAGTTCCCATAAATGTGTGGCACTTGTAGGTTGCTTCACTGTTCTGTCCAGTTCATCCCAAACCAACTTGATGGGATTTAAGTCTGGACACTGTGCTGCTGGACACTCCATGTTTTTCAAGTTTTACCATCTTGTTCTTTTTTCCTGAGGTCGTTTTGGCAGAGCTTGGACTTGTGTTTTATATCTTTTATCTTTTTTTTAACCTCTATCTGTTCAGTTTTTACCTTTGTACCATTTCAAGCTCTTCATTGGACTTGCACGACTTGAATTGCAATAAATAACTGGAAAAATTAGGGTGTTTTAAAACTTTTGACAGGCAGTGTACGTTTTACCTTTAATTCAGCAATTCCAGGGCCAAAATGATCCAAATCTACTTAAGGTGTATGGTGTTTCAAAACACATTGGAGCACTTCCTGTATTACCAGATGACATCACAAGGTAGAACTTAAAATATACCGAGTTTGTGCGTTAAACATGTGTGAATCAAACAAAACACAACTCCAGGTACGTTTGTGATGAAGAAACAACATTACAACATAGACGGAAAGTAATGTAATATGGGCCCTTTAACAAAAATAACACTCCTACTCACAAAGCTCATATTATCTGTCTGGTGATCATTTACAAAAAGTGCCTTGTTTGCCATAAATCTTCCTAAAAGATTTACTGTGCAAGCTCCTGCTGCCTATAAAATTTTACAGGAGGGGGCTGTGCTGCGCTGTCTGACTTATTGTCGTAATGGTCGCTCCAGGTGTAAAGATGACACAGAGGAGGAAGAACTTGATGCCATAGCTGAAAACCAAAGCTGTGAAGAGGAGAGCGTGATGGACGGAGCTCTGTGTGAAGCCTGGCTGACGGCTGGAGCCAAACAAGACAAAAACAGCACAGGTGATGAAGACGGGGAAGACAGAGGACTCATGGCCGAAGTTTATGACATTATCATGACCGACTGGCAGACCTGGTTTGGTACACTCTGTTTCCTGCTTTGGTTGCTCTTTTTAATTGTAGTTTGAATGTATTCTGTTAAGTGTTTTGACTAAACATAAAATATAAGCTATTTAGACCTCACGATATGAATGTATTGTAGGTTTTATTTTATCCTAGTCTGACATTTTTTTGTTTAGTGTTTGTTTGTACACCTGGATATTTTTAATCTTTACACAGTTTTTACAGTATGTAACTTTTAGCCCAAAATTTTACAAAAATACAAATTGAAAAAACTTTTTTTGTGTAATTTTTCTGTTAATTACTCTGAAAAACATGTGCTTACTCTGAGCGGGCTTGCATCTCCACAAACCTGACTCTTATTATATTGTTCCTTTGGCCTTATAATCTTGCAGAAGAGAATGTTCCGAAGTATGGTTGTAATTAAATGTGCACTAGGCAACTTTTCTGGTAGATGGCCCACGTCTCTATTGAGATTTTATTTGTTTTGCCTGAAATATTCCATATTATGCCATTAAACTTATCAACCTTCATAAAGACGAGGAGGAGGTGCCACCAGGTCAGTTTACAGGTTAGATAGAAGATTGTATGTTTTGAAGGTATTTTAGCAATAAAAGCACCTGTAATTGAGAAAACGCATGTTAGACAAGTTTAATGTCATACTGTGGAACATTCCCGGCAAAGTAATAACATCTCCATCTTGTCAGAAAAGTTACATGGTGCAAATTCTCTTTCCTTGAACTCATAAGCCTCCTCCAGAAAGTTACATACTGTCCCTTTAAACTATAGCCTAACAGTATAATTATAAAAAAGATTAATATATTTTGTGTTTGTTCCCATGTCTGTTCTGCATGTCATTTTACTTGGTGTATATTTGAAAAGTGTCTTCGTTATTTGTGTAATGTAGCACAGCAAAGTGAATGAAATAAAAATAAAAAAACAAATAATAAAAACAAGCCATTCCTTTTCATTATTATTTTTAAGTAAGCCTGTAATATTCAATAATGAATGTTGCTTGTATTATTATTTTTTTAGTTAGTGAAATATTGTAAATATATAAAAAGAGCTTCCATTTGAATATCCTACACACTAGGGATGTAACAATATCCAAATCTCACGGTAAGATATTTTCATGATTTACATCTCACGGTATGGCATTTTTTTGCGATATCTTGTGATATTTTCTGCTACTTTTTCCTCTTAAAAAGCCTTGACAAGACTTAATACAAAGAACTAAGATTTAAAAGCGCTTAGAACTGCTATTTCGTCGTGCAGTTTGCGCTAAAACGGCGCAAAGGATCATGGTCTATGTAGTTCCCTTTAGTTTTTTAGCTATTGCTACACCATAACAGTGAATTTAAGCAAAGAAACTTGTGATTTGATATATTGTGATGGTCCACGATGTTATTGTGAGACTTTTGACGATACTATATCACGATATTTTTGGTTATTGTTAATGTAATGACAAAACCACATCAGGGATTATGAACGAGCCCAGCCCAGTGGTAAGTGTCACGGAGAAAAATATTTTAAAGAAACACATTAAGATACCATTTATTAATACATTTATATTATTTTGTGTCCAACTTTACGTTTAAAAAATGTGGATGTTAACGTTACGAACTAGTTGTTGATATTAGCTAAACTGGCTGTAGCCTGATGCTACACCGGGAGATCACGTGAACAAAACAATGTCAATATCTTGCTAATCCTAACTCCTAAACACTCTAAACTAAGAGATAACAGCTAACTCTAACTATTTACTACGTTTTCTTTTGTCATTGGCGTTAAAACCAGTTTATTGTTACATTTGACTGAATTTCACATAACTTCTACCAAGTGAGTAAGAAGGTGAGTGTATTCTGTTTTATTTACATTTTTTTTTTATATTATTCCTTAGGTTAACCACACGATAATGGACTGGACTCCCACTTTTTTCCAATACAATGAAGTAAAGTAGGCTATATACGTCAATGGAAGCTTAGAAATAAATAGCTCACCAAAATAAAATGTAAATAGTAGGCTACCATTGACTGCTATGTTGCATATCTTCATAACTCTACACGGAATAGACTAATATTCCATTAATTGGATTAAAATGATTCTACTTTTATCATGACATGAAGCAAGGTCAGATTCAGCTATGTGCAATTGCTCAATTTTTTATTTTATTTATTCAATATTTTACCAGGTAAGTCAATTGAGAACACCTTATTTGCAATGACGACCTACCTGGCCAAGAGGTAATGTAAAACAGCACAAACAGAAAACACTCACACATCAGCCGTAACATGAAACAGTGAATAGCGACATGAGACAGTGAAACATTTGCAGATTAAAGATATAAATGTGTTAAAAGCATGTGCAATTATTATTATGTAAAATACTCGGGTTGGAGTTTTTGAAAGGCGACAGAAGTAAAAACGAACTAAGTTTTAAAGTCTGTTGAAGGTGGTTCCAGTCACTTGCTGCAGAAAACTGAAATGAGGAGCGATCCAAAGCTGTGCAAGCTTTAGGAACGATCAGGGTCATGTATCTGTTCAAGGTAATGAAAGTAATAACGTCTATGTGTAATAATGGTGCAGAGGCAGAATAGTGACAAAACTACATTAACAAATATTAATTTCATTTCATTTTATAGGCCAACCATTTTTAATATAGACAGGGAGCAACTTAATGTCAAAATGTAGATGTATGTTATAATACAGTGAGTTCTTGGTCAATAATAGAAATTATCAAGTTCAGTTTCATGGCACAATACAATGTAATCAATAGAACTCAACCCTGACCTGCTCTAGTTCCACGAGTAAATTTTTACCTCTGCCAAGGAGGTTATGTTTTTGCCGGCGTTTGTCTGTTTGTTTGTTTGTCTGTTAGCAACATAACTCAAAAAGGTATGGACCGATTTTGATGAAATTTTCAGGATTTGTTGGAAATGTGAAAAGGAAGATCTGATTTCATTTTAGGGGTGATCCGGAAGAAATCCTGGATCCTAGAAAAATGCAAATATTTAGAGTTCTAAACTTTACTGATCCTCAAAGGAAATAGGACACTAGTAATAGGGCTGTAGTCTGTAGCTCTGTCCATAATTATGATAGGCTTTGTTATTATATTGAAAAGTGTGAGCTACTTTGCCCAAGTGATTTCCCTTGTGGATTAATAACATTTGTCTCAGTCTAAGATATCCAGGCATACTTTCTTGCACTGACATCCCATCTGACATCAGACTAAATAACTATTACAGAGTCTTATGTCTTAAGTGTACATAACTTTGAACCGTTTGTCTAAAATGTCTTCCCTGTTCTCCTGTGATCCCCCGCAGGTCCAGCCGCTGCGACCAATTGGGTGCCCTGCTGGCGATGATGTCACGGTCGTATAAAACCCCCCATGGCCCCAGTGCCGCCTCTGAGCAGACTCAGCGTTCCCGGCCTGGACGCCTCGGCTGGAGGGACTGCTGTCAGGAGGAAAAACAAAACTACACCTTCTCTGTAGTTTTGTTTTTTTCTTTGGGGTTCCTACGAGGCGCCACTCTTCTCATTTTGGGATATTCTGATCACCTTTTCGGATAGAGATCACTTCCTGAAGTCAGCCCTTCTCTGGGCATCCCCCCGGCATCCTTGTACCAACAAGTAAGTGTCAAAACGCGGTGATTGACATGTGACAGCTGACTGACACCGTTAATTGTGATAGAAATCAATCTCTATAACACATCTTTGCTAATGCGCTATCATATTTTCAAACATTTTCTGAGACTTCTATTTCCGCTTTTTCTCGGTGAAGGTTAAAATGGGACGTCCCAGAATAGCCGCTGATAGCATTAGCACGGCCCGTCAGCTGGGGGGCCATGGCTTTTTAAGGGAATCAACAGGCATGGAGCTATCAGTTGCTCCTCCAGCTATGTGGCACATGGTGGTTGTCAATCACAGGGAGGTGTGGGAGGGGGTCTGTGTATTTTTAGGGTCTGCTGTTCCTACTTAGATAAACCAGGTTGTTACATGATCCCCAACTGGGACAATGAGAAAGAGCAGTACTTACAGGAAATGATCTTGATGATTAAAATTTTCGATCCATGTACTAAACATCATGTTTAATTTTGGCATTTTAACTTTTTTGTTAGATAATGGCTTAATATGAGGGTACAATTTATAGTCATTTATATAAGCAGCAATGATTATTGTAAATTTAAACCTACTAAATGATTCTATGTTTTTATAATTATGAAGAGAAAACAATCAGAATAAAACTAATTTACTTAAAATGTTAACTTTACATTATTAAGAATCTATGACACAATTAAACCAACCAATTAAACGTTTTTCTATAGAAATTTGGCTAACTCACACTTCTCTAAATGTCACAATAAACAAAGATATTGGATAAATCAAGCCGCTAATGTGTATAAGACTTTGTAGTATTGACATTCGTTGGTGATCTGTTAAACTGGGTCAGTCATCTTGTCAGTTACCAAAATGGCAACCTGACCTGAACCACTGTTTCTCATGATGAAACTGATGAAATCTGAAACTTAAAATTATGTAAAGAAAGATCAGAAGTTAAATATCTGTTCTGTGAAGGAGAAACATCTTGTATTTTAGCGATTAAAAACTGCCCTGTGTCTTCTCGGTTCCATTGTTGCTACTGCCTTGTGTCACGATAACAAATTTTGAAGCACGATTTATCACTACAGAGCTGTACTGCTATGAAGGATAATACTGAAACAACTTTATGCCACTGACACAATGCAGCAAGATTATCCCAGTAAACCATTTTAAAATAGACAGCATCATTTAAAGGCCTGAGCAGCAACATATATATGACAAAATGAACCAATAATTAGCCATATAAATCACCAGTTTAACTTTGCACAGCTCAAACTGTATGGTATTAAAACAAAAATAACTCAAATCTCCCCACTTTTACAAAGAAAATATTGAGCCCCAAAATATGTTGTTTCAGCTATCATATTTTGAACAATAATTCGATATACAGTAGTAATTATCATGACAGGCCAACCATGTACAACTTTGTCCCACAAACAGGAATGTTGAGAAAATAGTACACACACATTTGACACATACTTAAAATGCATTTTAAAGCTAAATGAAAGTTAATCTAGTCATACAATCATATGGAGCTTAACTCTGAGTCACTTGAGCCTATCCCCACTCCTAAAGGCTTTGGATGGGGAACTCCATTAGACACATCATTTGCATTTGTCATAGGCCAGTCATTCCCTAGCCTGATTCATCAGCCAATTTCACTTCATGGAAACCGTCTGACCTCGCAGCGTTAGCATTCGTTCGCTCGACGGTAGGCGGGTACTTTTTATATTTAACCAATCGCTGCTATTTGGTCGCGACATATGTAATGCACCAAATCCCGTAGGAAGAAGGGCAGTAATGTCTTTCTCCTTGATAAAATTCATCAAACATTCTCTTTGTTCCGGCTTTAAATCCTCGATCTCGGGAATCGTTGTCATCACAGAATGCATGGCTTCGTCTACATCCGTCATGACCGCTTTGTTTACTCTTGTGCTGTACCACAAAAGGAACCCAGACAGGCGCGCCGAGTTTGACGTCATGGTTTCACAGTTCTTTACTGATTGGCCGGTGCGCGGTCTATAACTTCGTGGTTCTTGCAAACCCCCTAGTGTATTCCGATTCCTGACCTAGTCGCTGGAGAGAAATGAAATTAAGCAGAGGCACTAGGTGGCGCCAGTTCGGCTAGTCATTCCCAACCTGGGCATCATAACCCAAATTAGGTCCCCAATGATTCTCAGGGGTCCCTAGAAGTTCTTAGGAAAGAGGTCCAAATACTTCTGGGGAAGGCATAGGCATTAACCAGATAATAATTATAACTTCTCTGGCAGAAGAAAGATGTTAGAATCAGCAACATATGAAATAGAGAAAAAGGTTGCAAACTACTGTCATTGGCAAAAAAAACATACACTGTGTCACTGTAGGCTGTAATAATGGCAATAATGTTGTGAACCGTTTTATATATCAGATTCCAAGGAGACAGGGCTCAATGCATTGTTTTGTAGCAGCAAGTCACTATGAACTATATACCAGTAATACCGTGATTAAAAGCTTCATTTTAGTGCAGACAACAAAAACAATTTAATGCTCAAACCTTCTGTGCTATAATCTGGTATTTTATACTGTAATTATAGATGCTCAAATATATGCACTATCAAATAAATAAATAAATCTTACACTTAGCCATTTGAATTTCCTTTTGTCTGTCTGTCTGTCTGTCTCTATCTGTCTATCTATCTTTTACTAGAAGTTACAGCTGATCAAATATGCAGTATTCAATTATCCCACTATAACAATATTATTGTGTTATTGATACTTTTAGACACAGTAATGCCAGTTAAATTAAAATAAATGTAAAACATGTACTTGTTTAATACTCTCCTAATAATGGCAAAAGGAGAAATTCAATTTGTCAACTGGACAAAAGTTTATTTGGTCGAACATGTTTCCAATTCCAGAAATGAAGAAGCAGTTTGGATGAGCTGCGAAATGTATTCGACCAAATAAACGTTTGTCAAGTTGACAAAGTGAATTTCTCCTTTTGCCATGGATTCTACCTGGACGACTGAGGATTTTTTCACGCAGTCTCCCAATAAAAAAAATTTAACACACTAAACCAAGATCAATCCAAGACCAACTCAAGGCCATGATTAAAATCAAACGAAAAAAGAACTGTCAAATGGCAAATGTTTTTTTATTATTGTAACATATATGATGTCTCTTATGAACAAGTTAAACTAAAATAACTCGACTGATATATATATATTTAACTTATTTGGACTGAACTGAACTATTTTGTTAACAACTAGGAAACTTTGTTAGGGCTTGTGTTGGTGACTGTCAAAAACTAAATCCAGTTGTTTTAGTTGAACTTGTTTATATGATGTCTTATCCCTGGATGTGTCAAACTTTTCATCAGTTAATGATGTTTCTTGCTAAGTTCATAAAGTGATATCGCAAGCATTTGGTCAGGTCAGTAGTTGGCTCTGGAGCAGTTGTCTCATGGCCTCATCATCGGTGCCAAACTTTCACATGTATTTTTATTGCACTGGCTGCCCTTCCATTGTTTTTCCTGGTGGACCCAAGGTGACGGGGACTCCCAGGTGATGACCCTTTTGTTTAGCAGCTGTTAGCCACATCTGGACCAATCACAGCCTAGGAACACCAGTAACCAATCAGGGGACAAATATGACCAATGTGACCCGCATCTGCCAGCCAATCAGACCTAAACAGTAAATTATTGTCGACGAGAGGTGCTCGAGGTCAAACCGAGATCTCTTCCCTATAGAGACAGTGAGGACCAACTTTTTACATGGATTATTATCTATTTTTTATTCATTTTAATTTAATACTTTTTTATACCTAATCTTTTACTTTTTTTATACCTGCCTATCATTGGTCAGTCAGGTAGAGATTCACATTTTCTTAATTTTAGCTGTGATTTTGGCCTTATGGTAGCAACAAGCTGTAAGTTATATTATTATTTACATTTCACAAATTAATAGGGATGAAACATTAACTGAAATATCGTGATATCATATCAAAAAAGTCTCACAATAATATCGAATTGCAAGTTCCTTTGCTTAAATCCATCGATTTATAGTAGCAACAGCTTATAAACATCAGAAACTACATATCCCATGATTCATTTCAGTGCAAACAACATGAAGAAATATGTTTTTTACTTGAATTCTTGGGATTATGGTGGAAATAATTCACACCAAACTCTTGCCAAGGTATTTTAAAAGCAAAAAAGTGTCCTGTCTAGAATTATTTTAACCTCACATCAATATCGCAGTGAATATCGTACCGTGAGATGCATATCGTGACAATATCGTACTGAGAGATTTGGATATTTTTACATCCCTACAAATTCATTTAGGTATGAAGTTTGGCTATTTGTATATTATATAGATCCTGGTTTTGAAGTTATGGAAATATTTGTAAATGTGTCCTACATTGTTAAGTGACTTGGCTTTGGGATTTTTAGTATTTGAGTTTTGCTGGTTGTGATTCTTTGCTCGTAAGTTTCATAATGCTAATGGTCAATGGCAAAGTTATGCGTGAGTTGAAAATCTGTCTAAAGTGGTTTTGAATTATTTGTCAGTTTTCATTATTAAATTTTTTTCAATTTCACATTACATTGAAAAATTGTCACCAGGTTCTCTGTAACTATCGTGCTTTTATTTAGCTATTTTGTACGTAAATAAATTCCTATTCCTAATATGGACCTGGCTCCAAATTTACCCCTGTAAATTTGCCAATCTTTTTTGTACTGAGTGAATGTTTGTTATTGTTTGTGTTGGAGCATTTTAAGGCTAAACCAAATGGGAAAAACACTGAAGAAACAAGACAAACCTCTTATTTGTTTGATCAAATTTACTCTGGAAATATAAACTGATTTTACTGATATATACTTGGCTATAGTCCTCAAAAAAGTATTGAAAACTTACATTTAGTAGAAGCCAAATATGATTTGACAGCAAAACCAATAGTTTCTTTCTAAGAATAAGTCCAGCTGTAATATTAATTTGCACCGAGCTCTACAAGTTAAAAGAAAAAGGTGCAAATCTGAGCAGTGACTTCTCAATATTTTTTCTATTTGCTATCTTAAAAAAACATGCAGTGCTAAAATGAATTCCTGTTTTTAAGTTATTGGATTTGGAACATGCATCTACTGGACTTCCTCACTGATTACGTTTTATGTTTCTCTAAATCTAAGCAAAAATGTTTGTAAAATGGTTAAAAACATATTCTTAGCCACATTACAAAGATAATTTAGCTTAAAAAAACAGAAAAATGTCGCCAACACGCTCCAAAATATACATTATAGGTCTAATATTTACACTTGATATCATTTAAACTCACATTCTTAGCTGTTTTCAATCCAGCTTTTGTAAATAAATATAAGTTACGAAATAAACACGGCAGAAGTTGGCAAAAATGTGAGGGGTCAGGCCACTGGGGCGGGACAGGTGCTTTAATCTGCCCTGAAGCCCCCCAGGATCAACTTCTCATCTATCAGGGACACTGGGCCAGACACTGCCAAAAATAGAACAGGGGATCAAACCGGCAACCTGTCCCCCCAGCCAGACCCACTGTCGTCAAGTGGAGCGATAGCACAACAGCAGGCAGGAAGTATCACGGAAAGGTTCATGCCAGGGTTAACATGACAGCATTGAATTTTTTGCTTTGTTTGACGTGTTATAATATTATTCAGATTATAAGAGTAGTAGTTTTGAGCGTCCGTTAAAGGTGTAATACGTAACTTTTTGCTGCAATTGTTCCAATCAGTGGGAGCAGGTAGAGGGTGCTCTTGGAAAAAGGATCAAAACTTAAAACACACCGGACTTGAGGCACTCCAAAGAAGTAAAAATCAAGGAAAAGGAAGGAAGGAAGAAAGCACAAGGAAAAATATAGTTAAAAGGTTTTTGTTTAAATGGCCAGAGCCAACATGTTTCGACCAACCAAACATGTTTCTTCATCAGGACTTAGGGCTAGGGCTTCTTTTTTAAACCACTTCTTGTGCAAAGTTCATATGAAACACAAACATTTTAATCATCAAAACAGTGAAAATGTCAAATGTGTCACATAAATGAGTTTCCAATACGGTTCAGTAAAAATAAAGGCTAAATCATTGCTGTGATAATAAAAGTCTTTGTTAAACCACTTTTTGTGTGAAGTGAGTATAAAACACGCCCATTTTAATCATCAGAACAGTAAAGTAAAAAAATAGAGAAAAAAATCTCGCACACCATCTTACTTGCAAATTGAGATTTATTAGGAAAATAAGTATTTTTATCTTTATGTTCTTGAGCTGTTCCCTCTCCTCCAATGCACTTGTCTCAAGTAACTGATGTGCGAAGTTCTCATCCTTTTAAATCATCAGAACAGTGAAAATGTGAAATGTATTACATAAATGAATTTCCTTGCTCTGAACAAGCAACAAAACTGTATCACTGTAACAAAATAATTTAGTAAAATATACCAAAAAATCTCTTAATGAAATATCTCTTGGAGATACATATTGATGCAGCAGCCCATGATATCGATACTATATCATCACATTAAACAATACGATATCTTGATATTTCGGTATTTTTGCACACCCCTAATTGTCACCAGGCCAATTCACGATCAGAGCTATGGAGATAAGACTCCACTTACAGCACCACTGCATGTTTTTCAAGGTGTTTTTTAGGTGATAAAACACCAGTAAATGAATAAATGCAAGTTGCCATACTGTGGAACATTCCAGGCAATGGAAATGAGAATGTTACGGACCCACCCTCAGAAAAGTTACATAGTCCAACTTTAAGGTCATGTATTGCGTTGTGTGCTTTATCTATGTTGCAGTGTTAACAAATATCTGGATTGGAGTTGCTTTACTTTATTCAAGCTTGTTTGAGAAATCCTGCATCTCGAGAGAACAGGTCTTTCATCTGGTGCTGATCCTGAAGTGCTCCTCTGTGTTTTTAAAGTTCTATTTTAGCTGCTGCTGTTTTGAGTTTGGTTCACAAAGCTTCAGTCTTTACTTCATGAGTTATTTTTATGGTGTTATTTTAAGCGATACATTTTTAAAATACCAATGGCTAGTTATGAATAAGTAGTCTGAAATAGGTTGAATAGTGCTCTATAATCCCATATAAACTGGATTCAAGTGCAGGTTTTTTAGACAGGGTTTGAAGGAGAATTGCAAAAGACAAAATCAAATAAGTATATCGTATTGTCAAAAGTCTCACAAAAATATCGTGGACTGTCATGGTATATCAAATTACAAGTTCCTTTGCTTAAATGCAGGTTTTATAGAAGCAACAGCTTATGAACATATGTAACTACATATCCCATGATTCATTTGAGTGCAGACAACATGAAGAAATATGTTTTTGACTTGAATTCTTGGGATTATGACAGAAATAATTCACAGCAAAATCTTGTCAAGATATTTTAAAAGCGAAAAAAAAGTGTCCCATCTACAATTATATTATTGCAATAAATATCGTACTGTGAGATGTATATCGTGATAATATCGTATCATGAGATTTGGATAGCATTAAATCCCTAGTCAACAATGTTAATTTTGTTATTATAGCTGCTTAGATTTGCAAACACCATATTACAATTTGGACTCAAATAAACCAGACCTTAACCAGGACTAACAGACCAAGGGTGATCGCAGCCTTTGACGTGACACAACGAAATAGTTCAATTTAATCTTTAAAAAAATTGTTGATGTTGATGTTAATATTGATTTTGTTGCTTTTTTGGTATGTTTTAATATTCTTTAAAATATTCTTTAAATCTGCACTGTGATGGCTGAAACGCGTTGGTGTGATTTTAACTTTATCTGCCTTGTGGTAATAAAGATTTTTAATTATTTTGTACTTTTTCAGTGCCTTAGCTTTTTCTACTTTGTTTTAATATTCAATTTAGTAGAGGTATGAGCAGTATTCGAAGTAGGGCTGAATGAAAAAAAAAATAAAATAATTTTTTGGCAATTTTTCAGAGAAATATTGTACAGTAATTCCGATTAGATTTGGAATTTATGTATCACAGTTGGATTCTGTTCAAAGTTCACATTTTAAACATGTCCACAAGCAAAAACATTTAACAGATGACTGAAATATGAACTGCTAACTAATACAAGAATACAAGCATTTCAAAACATGTTTATCAAGGTCTAAACTACAGGGTTAACAGGTTTTTAGATGATTTGTTATTTCTTAGTGATTTCAATTTCGCCTATTCAAATTGTTACTTTGACTTAATTGTGATTAACTTTGCAGCCTTAAGTTGGAGCATAATTTTTAAAGTAAAGTAGTAAAGAATAGGAGTAAAAAGTGTTGGAAATCAGATCAATAATAAAACTAATATTGAAGCTGGATACTCATGTGACCAAGTATCGATACTGATCAAAAATCAACGGGTCAAAATTTGAGCTTTCCTGAACACCTCGTAGTAACATAAAGAAAGTACTATTATTTTGTGTATGAAAATTATATTATATCATGAAAAAAAAGTGCATTTTTATCTTGACTATAATATCTTAATCTGGATTTTATCGAAATTGAGTTTTAAATTTTAGAATTGTGACAAGAGTATCCCTGAAAGATTTGGCCAGGCATCTTAACTTTCACATATAAGCTAATATCAGTGTTAAAGCTGCACTGTGCAACATTTCTAGTGGAGGGTCAGCTACCTGATTGTCTCCATGGAGATGTTATTGCTTTCTCTGGAATGTTCCGTCTAGCATTTATTCATTACGGGTTTTTGTATTGCTTAAAAATGCATTAATTCCTTCTGTGCATGGGGGTGACTCTCCACAGATCTGAATTGTAATGGAGCTTCATACTGTGACCTTCTTGTCCCCCTCGTGATAGATAGGTTCAATGTATACTGTGTGAAATAGTCTAGATAAAGCAATAATATTTCCATAGAGACAAGCAGGTGGAAATGTTACACAGTGCACTTTTAAACTCTTTTATCGTGAACTTCCTTTTGCTTTTGACCATGTTTTTGACGCCTGTTGTTGTTCTCCGCAGGGTGCCATCACCATGGCGACACAAGCGCCCACTTTCACTCAGCCGCTCCAGAGCGTCGTGGCACTAGAGGGTAGTGCCGCGACGTTCGAGGCTCAAGTCAGTGGTAAGGACGCCATGTTCACACTCAGCCCAGCCTCACGTCACTACTGTCTTTAATACACAACTAATATGCAACTACTCAGCGGTGGAAAGTAACACATTATAAATACTCACGGTACTGTAAATGAGGAGATGTTTGGGGTACTTTTACTTGTAAATGAGTATTATTCTAGTGAGGTAATGGTAATCAGCTGCATGTACCTGCAGACATGCATAACAGCACTTTATCACCTGCTCTGATTGGCCAACGCTCAAAGAATATGGTTTAAAACAACTAAATGTAGCTTTAACGGTTTGATTAATCAAGTTTTGTCAAAAGATTGATCTAAAACACTAAAAGGTAGCTAGTACTGTGTCCTTCATACCAGTACTTCATTGCAAATTTGTCAGAAGTACTGACTTAGATATGTAGGTGGAAAAAATTGAACATTTTCTTTTGGCCTATTTGATAATCATAACTATTTCTACATTGTCAGCTTTAAATCCCACTATTTCTTTCTTTCGTATTTACAACATGATGCACAATTATTCAAACAGGGTGGTGATTTATCTTTAGAAGTATATGTTTCAACAATCAAATATTGCTGCTTTTGAAAGTTACAAATGTTATTACTTCTTGCAAACTCGGAATAGAATACATTTCAGAAGCAATTATTTGCTGACATCCCTTGTTGTCTATAGCAGTGTTTCACAAACGTGTGCGACCCAAGTCAATAGACATTATTCGTAAATCACAAAATAAAGGTGGATTTGACCATTATTGAACATTAATGAGGATATTTTATTGTTGCCTGAGTGATCGTGTCTCTGAACAATTAGTATTACTCAAGGTTTAACCAAAATAAAAACAGTACTTGAACCAGCAGTAAAAGGGTTCCATAAGTCGCCTATTTGGACATTAAATGTAGCCCGGTATATTGCAGACCTAAATGCAGATCGTGACAAGGCAACCCAAAAAAAATCTCTTGCGACCGACCTGAGGGTCTCGACCCAGTCTTTGGGCAACACTGGTCTATAGTGTAGCATTTACATTATATTATTTCTGTAGCTCTGTGTTTAACTGTTGTTGTGTTGTTGCAGGTTCTCCAGTTCCTGAGGTGAGCTGGTTTCGTGATGGCCAGGTTCTATCTGCAGCCGCTCTGCCCGGCATCCACATGTCGTTCAGTGGCGGCTGCGCTGTTCTGAGGATCCCCGCTGTGACAGCCGCACACAGCGGGAGGTTCTCCGTCAGAGCCACCAATGGAGCTGGACAAGCCACCAGCACCGCCGAGCTCCTCGTCACAGGTAACACTCTATATATACTTGTCCTATTTACTCTGAACTAGATACTTCAGAAGAAGGAGACAGATATGCTGCGGCTAATCATCAGTTTGTCACATTGTCAGTAATTTGCCCCTGTCACTTAATACAGTGTTCAAATGTAGATGCAGCTGTCACAGTAAAAAGAGCCCAATACATATGTTTGGTTTTCCAAACTTTGTATTTTTGTTAGATTAATTAACTTTAACATTTATGTTATATTACAAATAAATGTGCTTATTTGTAAATCATATCGAACATAAGCTCCATGTGCAAACCAAAGCTAACCCTGTGTGTCCCACTTACTCCAGCGGAGACGGCGCCCCCTAACTTCCTTCAGAGACTTCAGAGCTCCACAGTGCGACAGGGCAGCCAGGTGCGCCTGGATGTCCGTGTCACAGGAATCCCCAGCCCTGTGGTGAAGTTCTACAGAGAGGGAGCAGAGATCCAGAGCTCAGCTGACTTCAGGATCCTCCAGGAGGGAGACCTGTACAGCCTGCTGATCGCCGAGGCTTTCCCTGAAGATTCAGGCACATACTCTGTGTCTGCAACCAACAGCAGTGGACGGGCCACCTGCACCGCTGAACTGCTCGTTCAAGGTCAGCCTCTCATACTACTGTACTTATTATATGTAACATCACGGAGAGACTGATCAGGGCTTTATGTGTCTGACTACAGGAGAAGAACCTGTACCAATCAAGAAAACAAAGATGATTATGTCTTCAGCTCAAATGGAAACGTCACAGACATCAAGAGTGGAAAGGGTAAGCCGATATATGCTCCTTTACAACAGCAAATACAGTCAATGTAAATAGTTTCATTTAATAAAATTATACATTATAACACTGACAAATCTGACATCTGTTTTTAGAAAATGGAAGCAAGCTTCCAGGCAACCACAATGATGGAGATGCAAGTAGAAGGAGGAATGATGATGACTCAACATGTTGCTCACAAAACCCCACCAAGGGTTCCCCCAAAGCCCACCTCCAGGTCCCCCCCATCTCACATCCCCAGGACGGGACGGCAGCAGTCGCCTTCACCTGTGAGACACGTGAAGGGCCCTGCCCCTGGACCAGTCAGGTAGTACCGGCCTTTAAAATAACAACAAGATCAACATAAAAACATGCTCAGTCAGGCCTATAACAATGTGCTTGTATGCTACAGATCTGTTTCCCCATCCACAAGAATCTCGGGCTCCCCCATCAGACCGGTCAAGTCTCCACTCATGACCAGAAAACAGGTCAGAGCAAAACAGTTCTAATATTTAAATGAATAAATAAAATATAAGTGTGAATTTGTTGCTGAGCGTGTCTCTTTGTCTCACAGGTGGTGTCCTCCTCTGAGGTGCTGCCCCCATGGAAGACGGGCGAGTACATGGCTGAGGCCAGCTACAGCCAGATGACCAGTATGACCAGCGTAAGCAGCGCCACACAGATGCAGATGCAGAAACACTGGGAACAGCAAGTCACTGCTACCTAGAGAGGTGAGCACTCACAAGTATTTTACATGAGTGTTTGCATAGCTGTGGACTTAATTGTGGAAGTAATTAAAGAAAATAATTTCCTTTGTAATTGTTGTAATTGTTATTTTTGTTCACCATTCTGTGTAAAGAGCATGGCAGGAGCTGTGTCAGCAACCACTGTGTCCGTAGAGCAGGTAGACCTCTTTTGTCTCCCACTATTTATTTTATTCATCACCACTTTAAATTTAAATATGATGAAATTAATAAATGCATAAACAATATCTTTTAAGTATTGTAACTACAACACAGTGACTAGAACAACTGACTGTTTTTTTCCCCTGCTAACCTTCAAACCTTCCCTGTTTGTGGCAGCCTGCACCTCAGGCTGAGGAGGGGAAAAAGGCAGAGGCTGTGGCCACTGTAGTTGCTGCTGTTGACCTGGCTCGAGTGCGCCTCCCTGCGCCCGAGGAGGGAGGTGCAGCAGAGGAGCAGGAGTCTGTGGAGATAAGAACACAAGCTGAAAAAAAGATAGAACTGATCCAAGTCAAAACTCCTGAACCTCCACCGGCAGTAAAACAAAAAACAGTCCAAGTGACACAGGTCTGAATTAGTCACAAAAATACATTTAGTTAAAATAAAAAGACATTTGGTTAAGTAACAGCTTTATCATCACTTCAGATCCAGAAAACAAGTGAAATCTCTTCCCAAGTGGAAACAGGTGCGGGTCCGAGCCCGGTCCCACATTTCACTGTTTCTAAAGTGACTGTCCCCAAAGCTGAGCATGGCCCTGAGGTAAGAAGAGGAGCTGACTTCAAAACTGCGGCCATTGTTAGAAGACTTCATCCCATCATTAACACACCGCCATTTTAACATAGTGACGTGACTCTCTTCGCACTACCATCCACCAAAAACTCAAGGCTTTCTAATGAAGATGTTCTAATGTTTACTTTGTGGGATTTTGACCATTTTTTTCTACCCCTGACCTAATTCTAATGCAAAGATGGAGCCCCAAGCTTTCATTTCATTATTCAAGTGGAACTAAACACCTAAACTCTGGGCTAGAGGTATGAGGAACAGTGTGATTGGGCTAACATTTCAAACTCCACCCCTGTAGGCAGTTGTTTGTAATCAGAAACACCTAGCTGTAATCAGGGAAGTCTTTTGTAACGTCACCAACCACTCGAAATTGCAGATGCCGCTACAGAGTCCTGCACAGGTCTATTTTTGGACACCCACACCCGCGCAGTTTTGCACCACACCCACCTGTTAAACCGTGATTATATCAACGTTAAATCTGCACCCGCCCGGACCCGTTAACATTCCACCCGTTGCCCACCCGTGCCCATGATAAGTCGAGGTCAGCCCATTAGACCAGGACTAAACCAGGACTAAACCAGGACTGAACCTACGCCATGTCAATAGTGGATTATAAATATATACGCTGCAAACTGCAGAACCAATTGCCAGGAATACACCAGGACAGGACCAGGGCTACACCAGGACTACACCAACCCGGAACCAGCACTAAACCAGGTCTACACCAGGACTGAACCAGTGTCATTAGCATAAATATACACATGCCACAACCGCTGGACCAGGACTGAACCAGGACTGAACCAGGACTGAACCAGGACTTAACCAGGACTTAACCAAGACTAAACTAGGTCTAAACCAGGACTAAACCAGTAGCGCAGCCACTGAGCTAATCACCTCTAATGATGGGTTTATGTAATAAATACACCAAAGTCTCTCTCAGCCTGGTCCATCATTCCAGGAAAAGACCAGGAAATGGCATTGTTTCCGGGGCAACTGATGTACCTGCAGGTACCCGGTGCAGGACTCTTTGCCACTTTAGTCAGCACACACAGGAACTTTTGGCCAGAAAGCTGCAAATTTACCTAGTGTGCACTAAAGTTGCAAAAAGGAAAAAACAAAACTAGGAACAGTAGATAATGCTATTAAACACAATTTACACAGTTTATTAGCAGAAAGGTGGATTTAGTGTTTAGTTCCACTTAAACCATGACAACCTTCTTGAATTATTTTTAGTTTTCCTTTTAGCGTTTGTTTCTAACGTTCACTTTGTGGGATTTTGAGTTTTTTTCAACCACTGCCCTAATTCTAACGCAAACAAGGATCCCCAAACTTTCATTCTACCATTAACCATCGCCACCTTTAAATATATATATTTTTCTTTACTATTTGATGGTTAACCTTCTTCTTATTGGCTTGGTCAGGTTTCTATTGCTCGCACAGCTGTAGCCACTCTTCACAAAGAACTGTCATCCCCAACTGCTCCCAGAAAAGTCATCAAACCGGTTAAGTCGCCCACCCCAACTCGCAGAGCGTTTCTGGAGGCCCATGTTCCAGCAGAGCCCTTCCCGCCGCCTTTTAAAGACCCCAGATATCGGGTTGAGATTCAGACAGGAGGGGCGGTCAGTGAGGAGGAATTTGAGGACTGGGAGCCACAGGTTGGTTACCCCCTCCCGAGAGCCACCGTCTTAACCCCGCCCACTGCTCCGCCAGCAGCCAATCGCAATGTTTCATCATCAAGAGCATTTCTTTTGTTGTTCTGATTGTGTCTGTTTGATTGTTATTCTTTTTTGTTTTTATATGTGCTAAAGCAGTGGTTCTCAAGACAAGTTGCTGCACATAAAATTTGGACCATTTTAAATTCTAGGCAAAGACTAAATCATATAAACCATAGGGTAAGATAGACTCCCATAGACTTTTCAAACTAGTTTTTTTTTTTTTTTAACAAATCTGAAACAACAAAGTACATATAAGATACATTAAATATGCCTAAAGTTAAGCTGATCACAACTGGGTGTATGATCATTCTAAACCATGACTCTACCTTAAAATTGTGCCTGACTGAAAAATGGCAACAGCACCACCACCAGAGGATTTTCAAGTACTGCAGTTTGAGAACCATTGTGCTAGTCCAACTGAATACCATCTTCCTCCACACATTTCTAAAAGTCTCAGCTTGGACCCAATGCAGCAAATGACTTCTTAATTTCTCATTTCAATTTTTCTTTGAGCTTTCACCAACCGCTTCACATTGGAGTGTTTCACCCTGCTTCACTTTGCTTCACTTCTCACCATTGTTTTTTATTCACAAGGTTTTTTCCCTGCTAACCTACACTCCCTCTTCAATTTTGAAGACTACCTCCTGCAAGATATTAATCATTATTCATGTTTTAACTTTTTTTGTTTGATTTGTTTTATAGGAGGTTGTTGCTGTGCCAACAAGAGCCCAGGAACCTGTCGTTCCTCCAACAATTATTGCTGTAAGTGCCTTAAATGTAACTTAATGACTGGAAATAAACATGTGGGTAATTTCTTGAATTTAATTTAAGTTTAAAATTAAAATAAATCTGCAATCAAATACATTTTAAATACATTTAGGAGACTGAGATTGAGAGGAGACTGAAATATTAAAGAATCACATCCATTTAATTTTAGAAAAGGTTGAAGCAAATAAAGAGTGAGCAGGTATTTATGCGTAATTAAATATAACTTAATGAATGCAGCATTTATGGTTTGCTCATTTTTTCTAGTTGTTCATTCATTCCTCTTTAAACATAGAGCCAAAAACATTCTAAAACCATCCATCCTACTAAATTTTTGGTATTTTTCGTGTCCAGGGACTGAAAAATGTGACCGTGACAGAGGGCGAGTCGGTGACCCTGGAGTGTCAGATCAGTGGTCACCCCACCCCGACAATCATGTGGTTCAGAGAGGACTACAAGATCGAGAGCTCCATTGATTTCCAGCTCACCTACCAAAGCGGATTTGCCCGAATGGTGATCCGCGAGGCCTTCGCCGAAGACAGTGGCCGCTTTACTTGCACAGCCACCAGTGAAGCCGGCACTGTCACCACGTCCTGCTACCTGCTTGTTAAAGGTAGGACAAATACATTACAAACAACGTCCATAATAGATAATAATGGATGACTTAGAAAAAAGCAATGCCATGGAATAACTCTGCTGGGTCACTACTGGTGAATACGTATAGAACAGTATACTGCCGAGCGATTTTGGGAAAACATTGTGTGCTTTTTCTGACAAATATTGAGATTGTGATTTGGTTTTTGTTCGATTTTAAAAGGATTCTGTTCAAAGTGCCCATTTTAAACATCCAGAAACATTCACGTTTGATAGAAAACTGAAATATGAACTAATTGCAAGAATCACATGTATTTCATAATATGCAAAGGAATTAAATCACTGCAGAATTTCGATTTACTAATTGTGACCATTCAAATTGTCAAACTTTTCAATGAATACTTAACTTACTGTCATAAAATCTCCATTGTTTAATATTTGTCTGTATTCCAATTCTCTTCTTTTTCTTAGTTTCTGAAGAAATTGAGAGCAGGGAAGAAATTACCGTCACTCATGCTGGAATTACACAGGAGAAAACGTAAGTAGCAAAATAAAGCCCATAAATACTGCAACAACAAATATTCAAAAATACTAAGTTGTGGTTTTCTCAGTGTTTCCATGGAGACAAAGGGACAAACTGTGACAGAGGTGGTCAGCACTGGCGAAACTGCTGCTCCCTACTTTATTAAGAAACCAAGCGTCCAGAAACTAGTGGAAGGAGGCAGCGTTGTGTTCGACTGCCAGATCGGAGGTAACCCCAAACCTCACATCATCTGGAAGAAGAGTGGCGTGCCCCTTACAACTGGATACAGGTAAAGGGTCTGATTCAAAAAGAAAGTTGAAGCTTTTTAAAAAGTATATCGCATAACAGTTTTTTTTCTTTTCATGTTAGATATAAAGTTGCTTATAAGAAAGAGACTGGCGAATGCCGATTGGAGATCTCAATGACTTTTGCTGATGATGCTGGAGAATATTCAGTTTATGCCAAGAACCCACATGGAGAAGCTTCAGCAGTTGCTATTCTGATGGAAGAAGGTATTGGATCTAATATTGTAGTGGTACAAAGTTCACTAAGTTGTTTGCCCTTGGATTGAATATTAAAATGTGTTTTGTCCCCATTTAGAACAATATGAAACCTACATGAAACAGCAGGAAGTGACATATAAAACAGAAGTGACTGCAGCTGTGGTGCAGGAGCCCACAGTGATCGTGAGTCAACATGAGATTGAGCAGAGGAGGATGACCACTCCCATGAGCTTCATCTCTGAAACGGTACTGCTTACAAAGAAAAATCACATTGCAGCTATTAAGGTTTTGTTTTCTATATACAGTCTTCTGTCTTGCAGGAATTCATGGTGTCTTCCTTTGAGGAGAGGATCATCCAGGAGATTGAGCTGCGCATCATGAGAATTTCTTACATGGAGCTGGTGATTGAAGATGGAGAGCAGATGGTGACAGTCGCTGAACACGAGGCTGCGCAGCCCGCCTTTGACACTCCAGTCAAAAACTACAGGATTGTGGATGGAATGGGAGTCACTTTCCACTGCAAGATGGCAGGAAATCCTCTGCCCAAGATTGTGTGGTTCAAAGATGGGCAGCGTATCAGACCTGGAGGACGTCACCAGATGGAGGTTCTTCATGATGGCCGTGCCAGTCTGCGCCTCTCTGTCGTTCTCCCCGAGGATGAGGGTGTCTACACAGCTTTTGCCAGCAACATGAAGGGAAATGCTGTCAGCTCTGGAAAACTCTATGTGGAGCCCTCTGGGGTTGTGACCCCTCAGAGATATACTCCCCAGCCTGCCATGCAGAGAATCAGGTAAGGATTTAGTAACAGCTGTCAATGAACCTAGAACAACTAATTCAGTGGTGTATAAACATTGTATTAAATATTTGTTTATGTCCTTTCAGATCTACATCTCCTCGCTCACTGAGCCGCTCACCTGGCCGCTCCCCTAGCCGCTCCCCTGGACGTTCTCCTGCCCGTAGACTCGAGGAGACTGACGAAGCTCAGCTAGAGAGACTCTACAAACCTGTCTTTGTGATGAAGCCCACCTCCATTAAATGCTCAGAAGGACAAACTGCAAGGTTTGACCTCAAGGTTGTTGGCAGACCAATGCCAGAGACATACTGGTTCCACAATGGTAAGAGAATAACAAAACTCTGTGTTTTAACGCATTAAAGATTAGACTATAATCTGTCTTTTTTTCTATCTAGGACAACAAGTGGTGAATGACTACACTCACAAGATAGTTATCAAAGAGGATGGTATTCAATCCTTGATCATTGTTCCTGCAATGCCAAAAGACTCTGGAGAATGGACTGTTGTTGCCCAGAACAGAGCTGGACGCACCACAGTCTCAGTTAATCTTACAGTAGAAGGTAGATTATTAAAAATGTTGTAACCCACTTTACTTGTTTTTGTTCATGTGACCTTATATGACCTTTTTTTCCCCAAAGCTCGTGAAAGCCTTGCCCGACCTCAGTTTGTGGAGAAGCTGAAGAACATCACAGTCAAACAGGGCACTCTGGTTGAACTGGCTGTCAAAGCCATTGGAAACCCTCTTCCTGATATTGTGTGGCTGAAGAACAGTGACATCATCAGCCCACACAAGCATCCACAGATCAGGTATTAAATCTTTCCAGTCACTCAGTATTAGCACTATAAACTGTTACCTTATTCTTTTAACTGTATTGTTTTGAATTGCAGGATTGAGGGCACTAAAGGAGAAGCAAAATTCCAGATTCCTACAGCTGCCACCACAGACAGCGCCTGGTATACCGCCACAGCCATCAACAAAGCGGGCAGAGACACCACCCGCTGTAGAGTCAATGTGGAGGTTGATTTTGCAGCACCTCAGATGGAGAGGAAGCTCATTGTCACCAGAGGAACCTACAAAGCAAAAGAGATCGCTGCGCCAGAGCTGGAGCCTCTTCACCAGCGCTATGGCCAAGATCAGTGGGAAGAGGGCGACCTTTATGACAAAGAAAAGCAACAGAAACCACAATTCAAGAAGAAACTTACTTCTATCAGGATGAAGCGCTTCGGTCCTGCCCACTTCGAGTGCAGGTTGACCCCCATCGGAGACCCCACCATGGTCGTAGAGTGGCTCCATGATGGCAAGCCTCTCGCTGCCGCAAACAGGCTGAGAATGGTTAATGAGTTTGGATACTGCAGCCTTGACTACGAGGTCGCTTACGCCAGAGACAGTGGTGTCATCACATGCAGAGCCACTAACAAATTTGGAGTTGACCAGACTTCTGCAACACTGATTGTCAAAGATGAGAAAGGCCTTGTTGAGGAATCCCAGCTCCCAGAGGGCAGAAAAGGCACCAGAGTGGAAGACATCGAACGCTTCGCTCATGAAGGAGGCCCTGCAGGAGTCAGCGCAGATGAAGAATGTGAAAAGACCAAACCTGAAATCGTCCTTCTCCCTGAACCAGTCCGTGTGGTTGAAGGAGAGATCGCTCGTTTCCGCTGCAGAGTCACCGGCTACCCTGCACCCAAAGTCAACTGGTACCTCAATGGCCAGCTCATCCGCAAAAGCAAGAGGTACAGACTGCGTTATGATGGAATCTACTATCTGGAGATTGTTGATATCAAGTCATACGACGCAGGTGAGGTCAGACTTGTCGCTGATAACCCTCTTGGCACAACCGAGCACACTGTGAAACTGGAAATAACCCAGAAGGAAGACTTTAGAACCGTGCTACGTCGCGCTCCTGAACCTAAACCCGCAGAGGTTCCACACGAAGTTGGAAAAGTGGCCTTTGATGTTGTGAAAATGGACAGGGCAGGCGAAGCCGCACAAGACAGGGAAGTGGTGAAACTGAGGAAAACCCAGAGAATTGTCCATGAGAAGACATCAGAGGAGACTGAAGAGCTCAAGAGCAAGTTTAAGCGTAGAACCGAAGAAGGTTTCTACGAATCCATCTCAGCCGTGGAGTCCAAGAGCCGCAAGAGGGATGAGTCTTATGAAGAACTGCTGAAGAAGACCAAAGATGAGCTCCTGCATCACCTGAAGGAGAAGGAAGAGGAGGAGAGGAGGAGACTAGAGGAGCAAGGCCAGGTCACCATCCCCACTTTCAAACCTGAGAGAATCCAGCTGTCCCCGTCCATGGAAGCTCCCAAGATCATTGAACGCATCAAGAGCCAGACCGTTGGCCCCATGGAGGAGGTTCGCTTCCGGTTGAGGGTGGTGGGCAGACCCGATCCGGAGTGTCAGTGGTTCAAGAACGGCATTCCCCTGGAGAAGTCCGACCGGATCTACTGGTTCTGGCCCGAAGACCACGTGTGTGAGCTGGTCATCAGGGACTGCACCGTGGAGGACTCCGCCAGCATCATGGTCAAAGCAGCCAACGTCGCAGGGGAGTCGTCCAGCCACGCCTTCCTGTTGGTGCAAGGTAATGATCACTCAGCTCAGAAATACTTTTACTATTATAAACTACTACTATTTTTTTTGTAAACATTTTTAGAACATTTTCATGAGTACAATCAGAAAAGACCCAAATAACTCGGAGTCTATAGGTGTTATTATACACAAAAATACACCAAACTTCAACTGCGCTTTAATTTAAAAAGAATAAATGTTTATACAAATGTTTCACACAATATCGATGAGAAATAAAATAATAATAACCTTCAATTTCCTTGTTTCTGTTAAAGCTAAGGCAGCTATAAACTTCACCCAACACCTGGAAGATGCCAGCGCAAACGAGAAGGACACCATGGTGACCTTTGAGTGTGAGACCAATGAGCCTTTCGTCAAAGTGAAGTGGTTCAAAAACAACATGGAGATCTTTTCTGGAGACAAGTACAGAATGCACTCGGACAGAAAGGTGCACTTCCTGTCCGTGCTCGTCATTGAAGTCCAGGATGACGCTGAGTATAGCTGTGTGGTTGTGGACGACGAGAACATTAGAACCACTGCAAGACTTCATGTTGAGGGTAATTATTCACAACAGAACCAAGCGAAATCTTAGTGTTGCATCTTGATTAATGGGACTATATTACCCTATATTATTATTTTTGTTTGTATTATAATGTTTTATCATCTTCAAAAACATACCTGGGGTTGTGTTTTGTTTCACTCACACATTTTTGACTCACAAATCAATATTTAGGCCGTGTTCTTCACCAAAACTGAAAATATTTTGTTCCTCCTTGTTACATTATTAAGTGGAAATACAGGAAGTGCTCCACACATTTACTAGAATTGTTTTGATCATTTCATCCCTGGATTTGACTAATTTTCAAGCGAGTTATTGTTTTAGCCTTATTGAAACTGCTTCACTGCTCTGTGCACCAGCAGATATTGATGATCTCAAATATACAAAAGGTAAATCTAAAATTCAATCAGACATCTCCTGGGTGTGTTTTTGAGGAGGTAACAACATTTCAACGCTAATAAAAGTTCACAGGAGTTAGATTTGCGTAATATAGAACACTTGAATAATCATTTTATCTCTCGATCAGGTGCTGCACTTGAGATGGTCAAACCCATGGAGAACATTGAAGTGCCTGAGACCTACGCTGGAGAGTTTGAGGTTGAGGTGTCCCGTGAAGACGTTGAGGGGAGATGGTTCTTTGGAGACAAGGAGCTGTCCCCGAGCAGCAAACACATCATGACATCACGCAGAGGGAGACACACTCTGTCTGTGAAAGACGTGAAGAAGCAGGACCAGGGAAAATATACCTTTGTGTGTGGAGATCTGAGGACCAGCGCCTCCCTCAAGATGAAAGGTAAGGAAACAGACCAAGGGTTTATGGTTCTCTGAGTGCAATAAATATGAAAAATCTATACATGTACATTTCCTGTGTACATTATAAAATTAATCAAACTTAATCGAGATCAAGATTCACTTATTTCTAATTGTCAGTTATATGCTACAGGCTTTTTAATCAAGAGATCCACACCCAATCCTTTGTTAATAAAAACACGTGGTTTAGAGCAGACCTCAGGCATTGAATATGTAGATTCAAAATCAGCATTTATCAACATGAGCATTCACTTTGTTTGCCTGTATTTTGCTCTTGGTTTGATCCATTTAAATTTATAGATTTTAATAATAACTTGTTCTCTTATCAGTTCGCCCCGTGACACTGATGCAGCCCCTGAGCGACCTGACTGTGTGTGAGGGCGACATCGCTCAGCTGGAGGTGCGTTTCTCTCAGGAGAACGTGGAGGGCACCTGGATGAAGAACGGCCAGGCCCTGTCCGCCTCTGACCGTGTGCACATTGTCATCGACAAAGTCATCCACAAGCTGCTGGTGGAGAATGTCAACAGGGAGGACGCAGCTCAGTACTCCTTTGTGGTCCCTGCCCAGGAGATCTCCACTTCATGCAAGCTCTATGTTCAGAGTAAGACACAAATACAGGATGTAACTTCTTTTATAGGAAATGTATATTATATGGAAATGTATATGTTTATAATGATTGTATTTCTTTCTCTCACAGCCATTGACATTGTGATTCCACTGAAAGACGTTTCTTCCATTGAGGGAACTAAAGCTGTTCTGGAAGCTAAGATTTCTGCTCAGGATGTCAGTTCTGTAAAATGGTATCACAATGATAAGCAGATCACTGCCAGTGAAAGGGTCCAGATGGTTGCCAAGGGCTCCAAGCAGCGTCTGGTCTTCACCAGGACATTTGCTTCAGACAAGGGTCGCTACAAACTGGTGGTTGGGAAGGTCGACACCAGCTGCAACCTGTCTGTTGAAGGTATACTTTATATTTGTTTGTCTTAAATGTAGGAGCCAACTTCAAACACTGATTTGTATGTGTTGGTTCTTTGCAGAGGTGCGCATTGTGAGGAACATGGAAAATAAAGTGTGCTCTGAGTCACAGAATGTGACATTTGAGGTTGAGGTGTCTCATGCTGGCATTGACCCAGCCTGGACCTTCAAGAACCAGCAGCTTAAAGCTGGACCCAAATACAAGATGGAAACCAAGGGCAAAGTCCACTTTTTGACTGTCATGGACACCATGAAAGATGAGGAGGGACAGTACACCTTCCACGCTGGAGAGAAGACATCCACTGCTACACTCACTGTCTCTGGTATGGACATCTACAATTTACATCTAAAACATTCCTTTCTATGTCTAATGTAGGAGCAGTTCTAAATTTGTTCTCTTTTTTTCCACTAGGTGGTGCCATCACCCGTCCCCTGCAGGATGTGACAGTGGCTGAATCCCAGACTGCTGTCTTTGAATGTGAGGTGGCTAATGCTAACGCTGAGGGCAAGTGGATGAAGGAGGGCCATCTCGTGGACTTCAATGAGAATGTGATCAGTGAAGTCGATGGAGCAGTCAGACGCTTGGTCATTGTCATCACCAGACCCCAGGATGTGGGAGAGTACACTTATCAGGTGGCAAACTCCAAAACCACCGCTAACCTCAAGGTGGAGGGTAAGCAGCAACTTGCAATTACACTTAGTGTAATTAAGAATTAAGTATTTCTTTAGTAACAACTGTGATTGAAAAACATGTTGTATTTAATCTTTAGCTGTGAAGATCAAGAAAACTCTGAGAAACCAAACTGTGACTGAGACCCAGGATGCACTGTTCATCCTGGAGCTGACCCACCCTGATGTGAAGGGAACTCAGTGGATCAGAAACGGTGTGGAGCTCCAGAATAATGACAAATATGAGATCACCACTGAAGGCATCGTCCACACTCTCCGAGTCAAGCACTGCAACACCCAAGATGAGTCCGTCTACTCTTTCAAGTTAGGAAAACTGTCTGCCAACGCCAGGCTGAATGTTGAGAGTGAGTATTTCAGTTTTTTTTTTTAACCACTTGGCATTTAATATGAAATAATACTGTAGATTCCAACTATATATTTGTCTCTCTGCAGCCATCAAGATAGTTAAGAAAATCAAGGATGTCAATGCGCTGCTGGACTCCACTGCTTCCTTTGAGCTGAGTCTGTCTCATGACAACATCCCGGTCACATGGCTGTTCAACGGCAAAGAGCTCAAATCCAGCGATAGATGCAAGATTCAGGCCGAAAGGAAAGCTCACAAACTTATCCTGCAGAATGTGGACAACAGCAACGCAGGAGAGTACACGGCTGTGGTGGGACATCTGCAGTGCAGCGCTTCGCTCACTGTGGAGTGTAAGTGTTTACAAGAGTCATTGATATTTGAACCTACTGTATTTTCTGGGCTATTAGGCACGCTCTTAAGCCTCTAACCCCATCAAAAAACGACAGCACCCTATACACGAATCCACTCCGGTGTCCCAGCACGACTTCAGTAAACAACAAAGCCGCACCACCCGCAGAACACGCAAACACACACGGAGCAGACAGCGACCGCACAGCGACCGCACAGCGAAACACACCCATAGCCACACTCCACTCATCACTCCACGCCGACGAGGAACGGAACGAAGGAACAAACCGAAAACACGAGTCCAATGTGCCACTTCTAGACACGACTGAACAACTGAGTCACTGCGAACACGCCGACAATCCAGCAGCCCCAGACAGTACCCTCCCTACTCTATGTGCCACAATTGAACAAAGCTCAGAGTCACCGTGAATGCGCCAAACAAAGTCCGACTGACCCATTGAACTGTTGTGTTTCGTTTAAAGTCCAGTGCAGTTTATTTGTGAAAAAAGTTCGAAAATAGACTATTTAATGACAGTGCGCCTTATAATCCAGAGCGACTAATAGCCCGGAAAATACGGTACATTACAAAAGTAGTATTTCGTGCTTTTATTTACTCCTTTATCGACCAAGAACAGTTGACTTGACTTTGTTATTTGTCAGTTAGTTACACAAAATCATGAATTTTATTTTTATTTCAAGTCCATTAAACCTATGCTAGAGTTTCCTTTTTTGCACTGTATTCCCTGTGCTTGTATACTATTTATCACGCATGATATTCATTCATTTTCAGCTCTTCGTGTGACTAAGCCTCTGAAGAACGTGGAGGTGGTTGAGACCCAGAGCGCCACGTTCGAGTGTGAGGTGTCCCACTTCAACGTGCCGACCACGTGGCTGAAGAACGGCGTGGAGATCGAGATGAGCGAGAAGTTCCGCATCGTGGTGCAGGGCAAACTGCACCAGCTGAAGATCCTGAACACCAGCCGGGACGACTCTGCAGAATACACGTTTGTCTGTGGAAACGACAGAGTCTCTGCCACGCTTACTGTCAGCCGTAAGAAGTCATTCATTATCAAAAAGAAGCAATAAATGTCACTAATAATTAACATAAAGCAATAACTGAGAATGTTTTGCTTTTGATCTTTGGTAACAGATTAATTTGGAATCTAAATCCCTTTGCAAAATTTTAATAATTGTTTTCAGTAGTCCCCCCTAACACTAAATTTAAATAATGCATGTCGCAAAAAAATAATTTTGATACCGCTAGATTTTTTTTTTTTTTTTTTTTGAATGAAGGAATTGAAGGATGTGTTTTAAATTCTCCCAAATCATTAAAGGCTTGAAACAGGTCAACAGTGTGCTGGAGTTATTTAAAAGGGTATTTTACATAGGAGTTACATCCATTATCCATTCATTACTATAAATACTATACTATCTTCCATGAACCTTGCATAGAAGTAGATTTTTAAATTTATTCTGTAATAGCGCCATAACATTTCTATCTAATGCTGCATTCTAATGATCTATTGAGGTAACGATTAATTAGTACAGGCCTATAATGTTGGAAAGCACATCCATAATTCATTCATTCAAGCAGTAAAAATTAAAATAAATGCAGCGTTTTGTTTTTCTTTTTTCTCCTGCCAACCGAGTTTTAAACTTGGCTCAACAATTTCACAGACAGTTATCGAAACACTTTAGTGATTAGTGTATCTATTTATGAAACAAAGCCACCAAGACACATAAGACAGATAGCAACCTATTAACCTTTCCAGGTTATAACTGGAAAGACATCTGATATAGGGAATATATATATACACACGCCGCTGTGTGAAGCCCACAGAACCCTTGATGTAAGCACTTTTGTGCAGCTGTTTATCTTGGTCTGTCACCGAGTAAGAACCAGCCCAATGCCCAGCCCCCATGTGTACTATTTTTATCGCACCTATCTTATATAAACATTTATTTGTCTTTTTCCATAGCTGTCCTGATCACGTCTATGCTGAAAGACCTGAACGCCCAAGAGAGAGACACCATCACTTTCGAGGTAACCGTTAACTACGAGGGTATCACATACAAGTGGCTGAAAAACGGCGTGGAAATCAAATCATCGGACAGGTGTCAAGTTCGCACCAAGGAGCTCACCCACTCGCTGACCATACGAAATGTGCACTTCGGAGATGGAGGAGCTTACCAGTTTGTGTCCGGGTCAGCCGTCTCCTCTGCCAACCTCTTTGTGGAAGGTAAGGGCAGAAATAGACTAGACCAGGCTAGTGATTTCAATCTGTAGTATTGATACTTTGCAGTGAAACCATGTTTGCATAGGGAGGTTCTGCATGCATGTCAGTGGCAGAATGGTCAGCAGTTACCATGGTGACACAAAGCACTCATGAGCAAGCAGTGTCAAAAAAGTTTTAAAATACTGTGAAAACTAACACAGGAAAAAATACATAATTGGATTTAAACAACACATTTTCAGGAGCCTGTGAGAGGGACTTTTTTTAACTGTACAAATCATTTTACCTGTTGAAGTTCTAACTAAATCTAAGTTCTTTCTGGTCAGATTGTGTTGACAAAAAGCTCAGATTGAAGTCTAACTTCAGACAGAGCAATGCCTACAGTTAACATCACACCTGAGGGAATGCTGATGCTGCAAAAGATCAATAAAATTACACCGTCTCCTCTTTTAGCTCGCCTTATTGAATTCACCAAGAAAATCAAGGACATTAAAATCACTGAGAAGAAGAAGGCCATATTTGAATGTGAGATCTCTGAGCCCAACGCCCAGGTCATGTGGATGAAAGATGGACAAGAACTGGACATGTCTGAGGAGAGGTAGATATCACTTCTTCTTTTTTATGTAGTTTAAAGGGCAAATATTACTCTTTTTTTCTGATCTATCTTATGATTTTTCCTTGTCAAAAACTTACCTGGAGATGTGTTTTGTTTCATTAACACGTTTAACACACAAACCCTGACCTGGACTTTCCAATCCCCACTGAGCAAAAGGTAAAATGAGCTGTTTAAAAACTACAGCTTCATGATATCACAAGGTGGAACAGAGCATTTTAACTGAGCATTTTGACAGAATAATAATAATGGGTTAGTCAAATATATGAGAATGAAACAAAACCCAACTCCCCAGGTCTGTTTTTGATAAGGTAACAACATTTTAACATGGCTTAAGAGTCAATTTTGTGTAATGTAGGACCTTTAAATGAAATTCTACTGATCCCACTTGTAATTTTTGCAGGTACACTGTGACAGCTGAGAAGTATGTCCATCGCCTGATGATCCAAACCGTGCGCATGTCCGACGCCGGCGAGTACTCAGTCGTGGCCGGATCCAGCGTGTCGAAGGCCCATCTTGTCGTGGAGGGTCGTGATGTTCGCATTTCTGAACCAGCTCAGAAAGAAATCACTGTAAGTACATCATCCGTATGTAATGTTATGTGGAAGTAACAATTCTAATCGATATTAGAAACTAGATACTCATTTGAGCAAGTATTGATACAGCTAAAAAATTCTGGCTTTCTTGAACACTTTGTATGACTTTATCCTTGTATGGCTTTATCAGAACAACAAGAGAAAGAGAAAGAACTATGATTTTGTACCTGAAAATTACTTTCTATTACTAAAAAAAGGAGCATTTTCTATCGTCATTGTGATATTGTTCTCAGCAATGAGTACTGATTGAAAGTCTTAGTGTCAAAATTGAGTTTGAAATTTTTGTATTGTGACAGCATTAGTTCCCTCGTTTGCTTACTGAAAGTTGTATTTCAGTTGATTTGTACATGTTTTGATAACCCTACATTGTTCTGAGTGCTCAAAAAACTTCCTTCCCCGACCACATCACTGTACATTCTTGAATTTTTTGCGATAAAAAGATTCAGACTCTTGAGTATACATGCAAGGTAAAAAAAAACAAAGTTGCATAGCCATTTTCAACAGTAAAAACACAAACATAAAAATCAGCTGCTTGCTATGGTGAAATGTTGTTGTGATGGCGCTCTGAAGGAGGAGCAACTTAGCATGGAGAGCAAAGACAAGGGCAGCTCAGAGCGTCAAAAACAAAACTTGTTCATATTGTTTTTTTGGGCGAATATAGCATTTCCAAAACAAAACAAACATGTAGTGTGTTAGGGATTAATACCCAATAGAATTCTTGACAATGGCCTTAAAATGAGCAAATTGTGATCTAAAAACCTGTGTTGTTTCGTGGTAGGTCCTAGAGAAACACAGAGCCACTTTTGAGTTCGAGGTGAATGAGGAGGACATTGAGGGCAGATGGTTGAAAAATGGCGTGGAGATCCAGTTCTCCATGGAACAACGCTTCCACTACGTGTGCATCAGGAAACTCCACCGCCTCACCATCTCAGAGACCTTCAGGAGTGACGCTGGAGAATACACTTTTATTGCTGGCAAGAACCGAAGCACCATGCATCTCAGAGTCAACCGTAAGTCTGAAGAAAAATACATAAAGATCTCAAAATGCATATGGCAGGTTTTACTACTCATTTCATTAAAATGTAACATAATATTTAAAGCTACCATTTGTAAGTCTGTTTAAGTTTTGGCCTTTATTCTGGCTCTTGTGTGGTCTCTGGTCTTCTTCTGCCAGGCCAAAGATGGCACACTGTCAGACTTAAGTAACGTAGACACCATCTAGTGGTGGTATGTGAGAATACAACTGGGCCGGGTCGACCAATCTAATTACATTTGGTTGCTTTAAGATTAATTCCATAACTGTTAACTAGCAACCAAACTGTAAACGAATCCCAAAACTCTTCTATCTGTCAGAATAGATTATTTGAGAAATAAAAATTACACCTTTATTTTCGTAAATGAAAGTTTTAACTGGTGGAAAAAAGTATTACTTAGGTGTAAATTGGCCTCACATTTTGGATTGAATTTTGTTTATTGATTGATTATAGGTAGAGAGATTCCTTTTTAGGAATCAGCTGCTACTACACACTACTAGTAATGAATTAAACTTTTTTCCTAGTGAAGTAAAACTACCGTATTTTTCAGACTACAAGTTGCTCTGGAGTATAAGTCGCACCATCTAAAAAATGCATAATGAAGAAGAAAAAAAACATATATAAGTCGCACTTTTTGGGGGAAATTTATTTTATAAAATCAGAGACCAGGAACCTATATTTCATATTGAAAGGCAAGTTCTAGTAATAACAATAGAACAAAGAACAACAGACTGTGAACGTCACATATGAACAGTTCTTCAGATAACTATATCACTAAATCTTTCTTCATTTTCGGTGTCACTTCTGAGCAACTATTCGACCTCCAGAGTTAAACGGAGTGCCGCTTCCTCTTCTGTGTCGCTGTCGTCAAACTCAGCATCAGTTCCAGTTAGAATTATTCTGGCCTTTCTGAATCCCGACAGGATGGTTTTGGTTGTCACTAAAGTCCAGGGTTTGTTGAAAGTTTCATGGTGCACCCTACCGGTTGTCACAAGTTTCTCGCTCACCCCAAACTTTCTTTCTGCTGCTCAATTACTGTTTTTGGCTGCCGATTTCGTTACTTGCAGCAGGACAATGGCTGTTTCTGCAAGAGACATGGGCAGTAAAGGGTGAAGTGACAGTGGTCCAGAAGTAATAGGAGTAGTAGACACTGGCACACAAGCCTAGAGCGCCCTCTCAAGGCTGTCAGTGTGAAAATTTTAATATATAAGTCGCAGGACCACCCAAACCATGAGAAAAAGTCCGACTTATAGTTTGAATATAAAACCTATAAATATAAAATATAAAAACCTGTCATATGTACTTCAGTAGGGTATGAATTGTAAATATTTTTGTCCAATATTCCCTCAGTGCCAGAGCCTCCTCAGATCGTGCGTCACATGGAGTCCCAGTCAGTGGAGGCCGGTAAGCCCGTTCGCTTCTCTGTGGCGGTGAGTGGCCTGCCCCAGCCACAGGTCTCATGGTACAAGAACTCCCAGGCTCTTTCCCCCGGATTCAAATGCAAATTCCTCCACGACGCCTACGAGCACACCCTGCTGCTCATCGAGGTCTTCCCCGAGGACGCAGCAGAGTACAAATGTGAGGCCAAGAACGACTACGGAGCAGCCAGCAGCGTCGCAACACTTAACGTAGAAGGTAAAAGAAATCAAAAATTTAAAAAGGCTGTACATCAAATATAAAGGATCAGGATGCTAACTTTGATATTGTTGTCTTGTTTAGTGTCCGAGGTGGTGTCCCCAGATTCCGCTGCTCCTGTGGCTCCCCCAGTGGTCATTTCACCCATCAGCAACACCTCAGCACGTGAAGGTGAACCAGCTCGCTTCCAGTGCAGAGTCCGTGGAGATGGTAAGATTTGAAATTTCTCAAAGAATTCTGAAGGAAATTTATACACATACAACAGCATAAACCATAACTGACTTTGTGATCCTGAACATAACTCTAAGAACAGAAAATATCTGCCTTTGCAAATGTCTCCAGGGAGAAAACAGGTGTTAACAGGACTAATAGGGAAGCAGGCCTAAAGCAGGAATAAAACAGATCTAAACTTAAACTAGCATTTGTAATTAGACTGACCAACCAGTCCCTGTTGTATTCTCATATTTCACCATTCGTTGCTATCTGCATTACTTCTGTCTAATGGTGTGCCAACTTTAGCCTGAGAGAAGAAGAGCAGAGAGGAAGGGGGGGAACAGATTTCATGTCCGCCATCTACTGGATGAAAAAAAAATCAAATAAGCTTATGGATGGTAGCTTTAAATCAAGTCTATAACTGTATCAAGCCAGAACTAACATAGAAGGAAACCACAACTATTAAAAAGAAAGGCTCAATTAAAAAAAATAAAATAACATAATAATGATAATGATAATAATGTTGTGATTTATGTTGGTAAACCACACTCACCATCGTTGGTTTTGTATTGGACAGATGTGAAGATCTGCTGGTTCCACAAGGAGAAGGAGATCAAGCAGTCGGAATTCTTCAGGATGTCCCAGTTTGATGACAGCTGCCAGTTGGAGATCTCCAGAGTCTACCACGAGGACGAGGGCGAGTACCGCTGCACAGCCACCAACTCTGCTGGAACTGTGTCCTGCTCTGCTACACTCACAATGGAGGGTGAGTATGAGTAACAATCACTTATTTCAAAGCATGGCATCCCATACAAATATCTAACTCTGTATAGTAAATAAAAACATAAAGAGCTTAAATTGTGTTCAGGGATTTAACAGGCAAGGTAAAAGGATTTCCACAGAATATCATGGATGTAACAATATCCTCAAAAGTCTCACAATAAGACTACAAGTCTCTCTCAGCTAAAAAAAAAAAACAGAAGCAGCTACATAGACCAGGATCCTTTGCTCCGTTTCAGTGCAAAAATAACTATTATTAAGCACTTTTAAATCTATATCTTAATTATTTGGATTAAGGCAGAACCAAAGGCTTGTCAAGATATTTTAAAGGCAAAAAGTAGTATATTCACAATTCAACCTCCACAAAATATATGCAATAAATATCATAATGTGAGATGTATCCTGTGAAAATATCATACGGAGAGATTTGAAAATCGTTACATCCTTATAAAATAGTAAAGGAAAGCTGAAAATTGTGTGAGAAATAGTATCCAATTTAGTGTTTCCCATTAATAGAGGAGACTACCACCAGTTTTTTTTTGTTCATTAGAAGCAATAAGTAACATGTGTACACCAAAATTATATTATATTCCATAAAATAATTCAGATATGGAGCACTTACACCACCATAGTCTTAGTATAAACCTGTGAGAAACACTGCCCAGTTATTTAAAACAAATATTGGAAACTCACACCACACCAGCATTCTGACCTTTGTATTTTTATGTAAATGCTGCATGTGAAACAGCCAACCTCTTGCTTTCAGGGAAAAAAGACACTGCAGAGAGCGAGTGGCATGTTTCCACCAGTCTCACAAGTCTTAAGAAACCTTCTCTAGGCCAAAAGCCGGTCTTCATTCAGCCTATCAGCAGCTGCACAGTGGTGCATGGAGAAGTGGCTCGCTTCCATGCATGTGTGTCAGGCATGCCCAAGCCAGAAGTGACTTGGTTTCACAACAGGCAGCCAGTGAAGGCCACCAAAAACCTGGTGTTTCACTTTGATGAGATGACAAACATAGCCACTCTGATCATAGTGGATGCTTTCCCTGAGCATGCAGGCCTGTACACGTGCAGAGCGGTCAATAACGCAGGAGAGGCCGCCTGCTCTGCCACTCTCACCATAACCAAAGAGCAGCAAGTGGTAGAAGAAGGTAACATCTGGGACGCGTGACTGCAACCAATTCCCCTAAATCTTCACCTTGACCTTTTGACTTTTGTGTTTTGTTTTGTTTTTAATCGATCACATTTTGTCTTTACAGGCTAGAATCACATTTGAGGGATTTCCTGAACCTAATTATTATTATTTCAGTTGAATTTATTTATGTTTTTACACATACAATATGCTATTACTGCCAAAAGAATAAAAAAATCGGTACTAATGGATACTAAAACTAATATACTACACTTGAACAAGTATCGATACTGCAAAAAAAATCACATAAACAGGACAAAATGTTTAAAATTTTTTTGCATTTCTGCTTTATCAGAACAAGTATAAGTCCCATATTATATCGTGACAGTACTATCTCAATTGGGACAAACTTTTAACCAATTCAGGACATCCCTCAAGCTACCTGTTGTGTTTACTAAGTTTACATTTATTCACCAGAGTCCACCACTCTTTTGTGTTCCTGGGTTTTTCAGTGCTGTATCACTCCCCACAAATACTAAATTTCTGTGAATTTTGTTGAGTTTTCAAAATAACAACACAATTTCTTTTTAACTTCATCTTTCTCCCCCTTTTTTCTCTGTCAAGATATCTTTCTTTAGCCGAGAATTAATTCATTTTTTCTTTTCTTTTTCTTTTTTGCAGTGACCCGTGTTCAACAGACTGAAACTAAGGTGGAAGAAGTCAAAGGTAAGACCAAGTTTGTTTCTTGACCACTGCCCAGAAATATTGCTCCTTGTTTTTATGTGTTGAGAAAGGGACTGTTTAACAAAATGAAATGTTCTGTGGGTTCTATTGCCTCTAATGGTAATATGTACTAGCAGGTTATGATGATCTAAATGTTAACTTGTATTATATGAATTTGATGACAGTGTGCAGGAGCATGCTTAACTCATTTCGATTAAGTCGGACTGCACCCACTGACTGCTTATTGAGATAAAATGTTGAACTGTCCCTTTATGTCCCACCCCAAAGTCGTATTGCATGTTATTGTTCAAGTCTTGACCAATACATTCTTCTTTTCAGTGCCTTATAATGTATTGATGACACTTCATGTTTATTGCCTAGTCCAAATGTGCTTGAAGCGGTTTTTGACACTTGCAAATTGCATCCAATAGGTTATATGTTTTGGCATGAAAGGTCTTAAATTCCCACAAAAAGATATGATGTATTATGATATCTTTTAAAGACTCTAGATTGAAGAATTCTTTAAAAGATATGATTTATAATGATCCTCCTGCAAAATATTTTGTAGCCTGGCTTGCAGATAGTGGGATGTGATTCCTGTGGTTTGCATTGTAAATAACACAACTATATTAGTTCGAATAAACGCCTTCTCACCCAATTCGCGGCTTAAAATGGTCTGTTTGGGAACATAAGATGTAATGTTTTGTGCATCATTTATGTCCTAAGTTTAAGGATTAGAAAGGGCGTTTATTCCTCTGTCTGCAAGTCAGGTAAAGAATATTGTAGCATAAAGCGAAAGTAGTTCTAAAAAAAAGCAGCCCATCTTGGTTTATGCTTTTTCTATTTATCTTAAAATCATTTGTTTTGAAGAAATTTCCACAGACGAAGAATCTAAACTTCCTGCAGGTTTCAATTATAAAGAATCGAGTCTTGCGTTTATTCGAACAAATATGGTGAGTCAAATTATTTCTTTTTGCATTGTGACTTGCTGCATGCCTATGATAATTCTATCTCTCTTTCACTTGAGGCTCTGCTCATCTGACAGCTGTTTCTTTCTATTTTCAGAGCTTCCCAGCGCTGATCCCTCATGTCATCTGAGTGGAGCCGTGTATGACAGCAGTGCCCCCTCTGAGAATATGACACCTTTGTTCACAGAAAAACTTAAGTTCCAATCAGTTGTTGAGGGAGAAATAGCAGAATTAAAATGCAAATTAGTTGCTTTTCCACCACCCTCACTTTTGTGGTTTCATAACAACCGACCAGTCCGCAAAGAACGAAGACGCAGGATTTTTTCTGACAGTAAACTACACATGCATTCTACATGTTTAGTTATTGATGGTATTAAGGAGAAAGACTCTGGAAGTTACAAGGTAATGGCGATAAATACAGAGGGTTCTGCAGAGTCTACAGCATCACTTTTGGTGTCACTAAGGGAAGAGCAGTCTGTCAGCTATTTGGGTTCTGCCAAGCGGTCTGCAAAAAGCACGTCACAGTGAGGATGTAATGACAGAGCAGAAGACGGAGAGAAAGTTCAAGGTGGAGCTTAGATGTGTTGGGTCTCCATTTGATAGAACGTCAAAGGCTCATCATGGAAGGTCCCGGTCCAAAACTTCTCTTGTCCGAACTGTGTTGTTTAGTTCTGCTACTGGTGCTTTGCCAAAAGAAAAGGAGGTAGCCAAAGAGCACAAAAATTTGGAAACAGCCTCTGAGCGTGCCCCATCCCCTCCACCTATGTTTGATAGATCAGATCGCTTTAATGATAGATTTAGTGATATCTACTGTGATAGGCGCACAGGCGCCAGGTTCAGTGACAAATTTAGTGACAGATGCAGTGATCGCTATAGTGATAGGTTCAGTGATACTGATAGTCTTCACAATGAGGTAAGAACAAAACTAACAACTCTCCAAAAAGCAGTCAAACAAAGAAAGAGACTCTCTATTTCAACTATGTCTTCATCTGAGTTTGATGGCGAGTCAGTAATTAGTGAGCCCACTTATTCAGAGTACATGGAGAGGATAAGGAGTAAACATGCCGCTTTACATGAAGCCCAGCTATCTAGCAGACTGTCAGATTCAGGAGATGGTAGCAGAGAAATTCATGTTCAACCAAGAAGCAGGGATTCTTCTGAGACTCGCGTAAGGCATTCTTTTGAGCCACAATCAAGAACAAGAGTAATTCAGCTGATGAAAGGTGAGTTATTGCCACAGGCAGAGAAGAAAGAGGGTGAGATGGAGCACACATATAGGAGTTTTATTCAAAGTAAAGAAGATATGGACTTCAAAGTAATGTCGAGTGTTCGTCATCATGAGGCTTCTGCACAGATTACAACTGTGGAAGTCCCATACTCTGAAAATGTGACATCACAAGCACAACTATTGCCCACATATATCACATCTTCACAGAATGTTAACTTAACTCAAACTGGAACAACAAATGTAGAAATGGCAGCAAGAACCACATTTGGTGAACAAGAAAAGATGAGGGCTCAGTATGGAGAGGCTTTGGAAGTTGAACGCATGGAGCATGGAGATAAACTTCTGGCTCAAAGAATTACAAAATGGCAGCAAGGAGAAAGAATGTCTGAAGATGAGAGATTTCACTCAGAAACTGACCTGCCTTTGCCAGCTGAGCCACCATATATGGAGCCCGAAGGTATCATACAGCAGAAAGTGGTGGAGAAGAAAGAAAGTGGTCTTACTGAGGCAGTTTATCATCATAAATCACCAAGAATGATAAGGTCAGGTGATAATGAAACTAGTACAGCAACTCATCCTAGATCTCCCAAAATTAACGTTAGACCAGAAGACCCTGAATTTGAACTTCCAGTCTTGCAATCACAACTACCATCCAGGACGACAGAAGTGGCTGAGTCACCATCAAGAACAAGAGCTAGAGCAGAAGCCAGAATGAGAGACTCACCGAGATTAAGGCTAGCCAAGAAAGACCATTTTGTCGGTGAAGGAGTAATATCCCAAGAAATCACTGAACAAAAGGATGTTTATGAAGAAGAATACACTAGCGAGTCACTGAGAGCTCATTATGAAAAAGAACTAGAGGCTGAGCGCTTGGAGTGTGAGGAAAAACTCCTGGCTCTTAGAATCAGAAAATGGCAACAAGGCATGATTATATCAGAAGAAGATAACTTTCACCCTGAAACAGATCTCCCTATGCCAGCAGATGCACCGTACATGGAGCCTGAAGGTCAAGTCTACGCTCAGGAGGAGATGGTGAAGAAAGAGCAAGTGAAGGCAACTGAGAATGTTCCTACTCCTACTTTCCATAAATCACCAAAAATGAAAACCCGAGCTGAAGAGTTTGAGAGTGAAGTGAGTGTAAAACAACTTCCAAAATCTCCAAGAGTCAAATCTAGAATATCAGAGCAGACAATTCAGGCGTCCCCAAGAGCTAGAGCAAGACAAGAACGGTTTGAAAAAATGAAACATCATGAAATGCAGCTGTCAAGAGAAAACATCTCTGAGCTCAGTGATAGTGCCCAATTTGGCAGTGAAGAGGAAGCACTTAATGAAAGAATTATGAAGTGGCAGCAGGATGTTTATATGGAACAACAAGGCACTGTCAAACTGGAACCTGGCTGGGCAGAAAGCTGTCCAACATTTCAGACTGAGGCTGAAGCAGGAAGAGGTGTCCATGAGCCAACAGAAGCAACCAAAGCTGAAGCTATACAAAGAAAAATGACTACCTCAGAGAATGTTGCCATTAGTCGTGAAGTTCCTTTCCAAAATCTTGGGGATACTCCAGAGTGGCCTAGTACAGAGCTGCCTACAGAGGGCCGTGAAACTAGGCTGGAGAAGGACAGTGAATACCTTGTGAGTGAACAAGAAGCAATGGCCCAGCGTATTTTGAAATGGCAAAAAGATGAAGTCACAGAACTTGAGTCAGAGTGGCCTGTAGATCCTCAAGGGAAGCAGCTTTTTGAAGTCACTGAAAGAATCCATTCTGTGACTCTGCCCGATACAGTTTCTAGTCAGTTTCCATCTGTTCCTTATGAAAAACAACTCCAAACAGAGATGTCTTCACCCACTTTCCAAACGTCTTATGGCGCAGGCCTACATCAAGATGTAAAAGCAGCAGTTTCTCTTGAAGCCTTGCAAGCAGGAAGACCCGATGCAATTTCCAGGCAGTTTCCATCTCTCCCTTATGAAAAACAATTCCAACCAGAGGCCTCTTCAACCACTCTCCAGACTTCTTATGGTGCAGGTGTACATCAAGATGTAAAAGCAACACCTTCTAATGAAGTTTTGCAAGCAACAGGGCCCAATATAGTTTCCAGTCAGGTTCCATCTCTCCCTTATAGAAAACAAATCCAAACAGAGGCCTCTTTAATCACTTCTCAGACTTCTTATGGTGCAGGTGTATATCAAGATGTAAAAGCAACACCTGAAACTGTGCCAACCACCCAGCCTCTGTTATCCATGTCACACTTGTCATCTGCATCAGGAATTGCAGATCAGTCCACAAATCAAGAATCTTTATTGGTTCAAAAACACGCTCCCACTCACCCACTTCACACCATGCCCCCTGAAGAAATGCAATATGCAGCTCCTGCTAAACCCTTCAGACAATCATTTCCAACTGCAAAAGAAGCTGAGCCGCAATCTGAGGAATATACTATGCTTGTAGATAAAGCTAGCCTCCAGCGTTTTCAATATGAAGTAAAGGAAGAGGGAAGGATGAAAGAGGAGGTTGAACAATCAAGAGAGGTCGCTCATAGAAGACTACTGAAGGATAATGCAAGTGAGCTAGAAGTCAGTGCTGGAGTAAAAGAAAGTGGTGGCACAGACATTAAAACAGACACAAAAATAAATATATCTTTAAAGGAAAATGTCCAACCTACGGAGTCTAACGCAGTAAGTGGCAAACCAAGTATAAATGGAAAAGCTCCAGTATTTGTGAAAGAGCTGTCACCATTAAAAGCAAGCATTGGTGAGATGTCGGAGTTTTGCTGCCAATTTCGAGGTGAACCTATACCCACAGTCAACTG